TTTGAAAAATATAATTGCGTCCTGCAGAAGTGGAATCTTGTTTATATGTTGAATCCCTTGAAAGAGACCACGACACTATTTTTAAAGTAAGAAAATTTTAGCGCAAATACATTTTTTCGTAAGCTATGCCTTGGATTTTTCTCAATTTTTCATGTTTTTTAGACAACTTTGAGCATAATTATATCTTGCGTCCTAAAAGATGCAAACTTGTTATATGTTGAATCACTTGAAATGACCAACAGACACTATTTTCAGGTTAGAAATTTATCGAAAAAATGACATTTTTTCTAAGGTATAGCCTTGGATTTTCTTTCAATTTTTCGATGTTTTTTAGACAACTTTTGAAAATAATATTTGCGATCCTAAAGCGTCCAAGTTTGGGTTTTTATGTGAATCCACTTAAAGAGACGACAGACACTATTTTAAAGGCGAGAAAATTTTATCGAAAAATGACTTTTTTCACAGACTATAGCCTTGGATTTTTCTCAATTTTTATCGATGTTTTTAAGACACTTTGAGCATAATATATTTCGTCTTAAGAAGCTGCAAAACTTGTTATTATGTTGATCCACTTGAAAGAGACCACAGACACTATTTTTAAGCGGTAAGAAATTACATCGAAAAATTGAGAAATCCAAGGCTATAGCCTTAGAAGATTTTTTTCATTTTTCGATTTTTTAAGAATGGTTGTTTGCTCTCTGAAGTGGATCAACATTTACAAGTTTGAATCACTTAGGAGCACACACATATTTTTAAAGTTAAAAATATCGAAAAATTGAGAAATCAAGGCTATAGCCTTAGAAAAATGTCATTTTTCGATAAAAATTTCTACCTTAAAATAGTGTCTGTGTCTCTTTTCAAGTGGATTCAACATATAAACAAGTTTCAGCTTCTAGGACGCAATATACATACGAAATTGTCTAAAAAACATCGAAAAAATTGAGAAAAATCCAAGGCTATAGCCTTAGAAAAATTCATTTATACAAAATTTCTTACCTTAAAAATAGTGTCTGGGTCTCTTTCAAGTGGATTCAACATATAAACAAGTTTGCAGCTTCTTAAGACGCAATATATTATGCTCAAAGTTGTCTAAAAACATCGAAAAAAATTGAGAAAAATCCAAGGCTATAGCCTTAGAAAAAATGTCATTTTTCGATAAAAATTTCTACCTTAAAAATAGTGTCTGTGGTCTCTTTCAAGTGGATTCAACATATAAACAAATTTGCAGCTTCTAGGACGCAATATATTATTTTCAAAGTTGTCTAAAAAACATCGAAAAAAATGAGAAAAATCCAAGGCTATAGCCTTAGAAAAAATGTCATTTTTCGATAAAAATTTCTACCTAAAAATAGTGTCTGTGGGTCTCTTTCAAGTGGATTCAACATATAAACAAGTTTGCACTTTAGGACGCAATATATTATGCTCAAAGTTGTCTAAAAAACATCGAAAAAATTGAGAAAAATCCAAGGCTAGCCTTAGAAAAAATGTCATTTTCGTAAAATTTCTTACCTTAAAAATAGTGTCTGTGGTCTCTTTCAAGTGGATTCAACATATAAAAAAGTTGCAGCTTCTAGGACGCAATATATTATTCCAAAGTTGTCTTAAAAACATCGAAAAAATTAGAAAAATCCAAGGCTATAGCCTTAGAAAAATGTCATTTTTCGATAAAAATTTTTACCTAAAAATAGTGTGTGGCTCTCTTTCAAGTGGATTCAACATATCAACAAGCTTGGACGCAATATATATGCTCAAAATTGTCTAAAAAACATCGAAAAAATTGAGAAAAATCCAAGGCTATAGCCTTAGAAAAATGCATTTTTGACAAAAATTTCTCACCTAAAAAATAGTGTCTGTGGTCTCTTTCAAGTGGATTCAACATATCAACAAGTTTGCAGCTTCTTAGGACGCAATATATTATGCTCAAAATTGTCTAAAAAACATCGAAAAATTTGAGAAAAATCCAAGGCTATAGCCTTAGAAAAATGTCATTTTTCGATAAAATTTTTAACCTAAAATAGTGTCGTGTGCTCTCTTTCAAGTGGATTCAACATATAACAAGGTTTCAGCAATAATATTATGCTCAAAATTGTCTAAAAAACATCGAAAAAATTGAGAAAAATCCAAGGCTATAGCCTTAGAAAAAATGTCATTTTTGATAAAATTTCTAACCTAAAAATAGTGTGTGTGCTCTCTTTCAAGTGGATTCAACATATAAACAAGTTTCAGCTTCTTAGGACGCAATTATTTTGTTCAAAAATTGTCTAAAAAACATCGAAAAAATTAGAAAATCCAAGGCTATAGCCTTAGAAAAAATGTCATTTTTCGATAAAATTTCTTACCTTAAAAATAGTGTCTGTGGTCTCTTTCAAGTGGATTCAACATATAAACAAGTTCAGCTTCTTAGGACGCAATATATATGCTCAAAATTGTCTAAAAAACATCGAAAAAATTGAGAAAAATCCAAGGCTATAGCCTTAGAAAAAATGTCATTTTTCGATAAAAATTTCTACCTTAAAAATAGTGTGTGTGTGCTCTCTTTCAAGTGGATTCAACATATAAACAAGTGTCCAGCTTCTCAGGACGCAATACATTTTGTTTCCTCAAAATTGTCTAAAAAACATCGAAAAAATTGAGAAAAATCCAAGGCTATAGCCTTAGAAAAAATGTCATTTTGCGATAAAAATTTCTTACCTTAAAAATAGTGTCTGTGCTCTCTTTTAAGTAGATTCAACATATAAACAAGTCTCCAGCTTCTCAGGACGCAATATATTATGCTCAAAATTGTCTAAAAAACATCGAAAAAATTGAGAAAAATCCAAGGCTATAGCCTTAGAAAAATGTCATTTTGCGATAAAAATTTCTTACCTTAAAAATAGTGTCTGTGGTCTCTTTCAAGTGGATTCAACATATCAACAAGTTTGCAGCTTCTTAGGACGCAATATATTATGCTCAAAATTGTCTGGAAAACATCGAAAAAATTGAGAAAAATCCAAGGCTATAGCCTTAGAAAAAATGTCATTTCTCGATAACAATTTTTAACCTTAAAAATAGTGTGTGTGCTCTCTTTCAAGTGGATTCAACATATAAACAAGTTTCCAGCTTCTCAGGACGCAATACATTTTGTTCAAAATTGTCTAAAAAACATCGAAAAAATTGAGAAAAATCCAAGGCTATAGCCTTAGAAAAAATGTCATTTTGCGATAAAAATTTCTTACCTTAAAAATAGTGTCTGTGGTCTCTTTCAAGTGGATTCAACATATCAATAAGTTTGCAGCTTCTTAGGACTCAATATATTATGCTCAAAGTTGTCTAAAAAACATCGAAAAAATTGAGAAAAATCCAAGGCTATAGCCTTAGAAAAAATGTCATTTTTCGATAAAAATTTCTAACCTCCAAAAAAGGGTCTGTGCTCTCTTTCAAGTGGATTCAACATATAAACAAGTTTGCAGCTCCATAGGACGCAATATATTATGTTCAAAGTTGTCTAAGAAACATCGAAAAAATTGAGAAAAATCCAAGGCTATATAGCCTTAGAAAAAATGCCATTTTTCGACAAAAATTTCTCACCTGAAAAATAGTGTCTGTGGTCTCTTTCAAGTGGATTCAACATATAAACAAGTTTGCAGCTTCTTAGGACGCAATATATTATGCTCAAAATTGTCTAAAAAACATCGAAAAAATTGAGAAAAATCCATGGCTATAGCCTTAGAAAAAATGTCATTTTTCGATAAAAATTTCTTACCTTAAAAATAGTGTCTGTGGTCTCTTTCAAGTGGATTCAACATATAAACAAGTTTCCAGCTTCTCAGGACGCAATACATTTCGTTCAAAATTGTCTAAAAAACATCGAAAAAATTGAGAAAAATCCAAGGCTATAGCCTTAGAAAAAATGTAATTTTTCGATAACAATTTTTAACCTTAAAAATAGTGTGTGTGCTCTCTTTCAAGTGGATTCAACATATAAACAAGTTTCCAGCTTCTCAGGACGCAATACATTTCGTTCAAAATTGTCTAAAAAACATCGAAAAAATTGAGAAAAATCCAAGGCTATAGCCTTAGAAAAAATGTCATTTTTCGATAACAATTTTTAACATTAAAAATAGTGTGTGTGCTCTCTTTCAAGTGGATTCAACATATAAACAAGTTTGTAGCTCCATAGGACGCAATATATTATGCGCAAAGTTGTCTAAAAAACATCGAAAAAATTGAGAAAAATCCAAGGCTATAGCCTTAGAAAAAATGTCATTTATCGATAAAAATTTCTAACCTCCAAAAAAGGGTCTGTGGTCTCTTTCAAGTGGATTCAACATATAATCAAACTTGCAGCTTCTTAGCACGCAATATATTATGCTCAAAGTTGTCTAAAAAACATGGAAAAAATTGAGAAAAATCCAAGGCTATAGCCTTAGAAAAAATGTCATTTTGCGCTAAAAATTTCTTACTTTTAAAATAGTGTCTGTGGTCTCTTTCAAGTGGATTCAACATATCAACAAGTTTGCAGCTTCTTAGGACGCAATATATTATGCTCAAAGTTGTCTAAAAAACATCGAAAAAACTGAGAAAAATCCAAGGCTATAGCCTTAGAGAAAATGTCATTTTTCGATAAAGAATTTTCACCTTAAAAATAGTGTCTGTGGTCTCTTTCAAGTGGATTCAACATATAAACAAGATTCCAGCTTCTCAGGACGCAATATATTATTTTCAAAGTTGTCTAAAAAACATCGAAAATATTGAGAAAAATCCAAGGCTATAGCCTTAGAAAAAATGTCATTTTTCGATAAAAATTTCTAACCTGAAAAATAGTGTCTGTGGTCACTTTCAAGTGGATTCAACATATAAACAAGTTTGCATCTTTTTAGGACGCAATATATTATGCTCAAAGTTGTCTAAAAAACATGGAAAAAATTGAGAAAAATCCAAGGCTATAGCCTTAGAAAAAATGTCATTTTCCGATAAAAATTTCGAACCTTAAAAATAGTGTCTGTGCTCTCTTTTAAGTAGATTCAACATATAAACAAGTCTCTAGCTTCTCAGGACGCAATATATTATGCTCAAAATTGTCTAAAAAACATCGAAAAAATTGAGAAAAATCCAAGGCTATAGCCTTAGAAAAATGTCATTTTGCGATAAAAATTTCTTACCTTAAAAATAGTGTCTGTGGTCTCTTTCAAGTGGATTCAACATATCAACAAGTTTGCAGCTTCTTAGGACGCAATATATTATGCTCAAAATTGTCTGGAAAACATCGAAAAAATTGAGAAAAATCCAAGGCTATAGCCTTAGAAAAAATGTCATTTCTCGATAACAATTTTTAACCTTAAAAATAGTGTGTGTGCTCTCTTTCAAGTGGATTCAACATATAAACAAGTTTCCAGCTTCTCAGGACGCAATACATTTTGTTCAAAATTGTCTAAAAAACATCGAAAAAATTGAGAAAAATCCAAGGCTATAGCCTTAGAAAAAATGTCATTTTGCGATAAAAATTTCTTACCTTAAAAATAGTGTCTGTGCTCTCTTTTAAGTAGATTCAACATATAAACAAGTCTCCAGCTTCTCAGGACGCAATATATTATGCTCAAAATTGTCTAAAAAACATCGAAAAAATTGAGAAAAATCCAAGGCTATAGCCTTAGAAAAATGTCATTTTGCGATAAAAATTTCTTACCTTAAAAATAGTGTCTGTGGTCTCTTTCAAGTGGATTCAACATATCAACAAGTTTGCAGCTTCTTAGGACGCAATATATTATGCTCAAAATTGTCTGGAAAACATCGAAAAAATTGAGAAAAATCCAAGGCTATAGCCTTAGAAAAAATGTCATTTCTCGATAACAATTTTTAACCTTAAAAATAGTGTGTGTGCTCTCTTTCAAGTGGATTCAACATATAAACAAGTTTCCAGCTTCTCAGGACGCAATACATTTTGTTCAAAATTGTCTAAAAAACATCGAAAAAATTGAGAAAAATCCAAGGCTATAGCCTTAGAAAAAATGTCATTTTGCGATAAAAATTTCTTACCTTAAAAATAGTGTCTGTGGTCTCTTTCAAGTGGATTCAACATATCAATAAGTTTGCAGCTTCTTAGGACTCAATATATTATGCTCAAAGTTGTCTAAAAAACATCGAAAAAATTGAGAAAAATCCAAGGCTATAGCCTTAGAAAAAATGTCATTTTTCGATAAAAATTTCTAACCTCCAAAAAAGGGTCTGTGCTCTCTTTCAAGTGGATTCAACATATAAACAAGTTTGCAGCTCCATAGGACGCAATATATTATGTTCAAAGTTGTCTAAGAAACATCGAAAAAATTGAGAAAAATCCAAGGCTATATAGCCTTAGAAAAAATGCCATTTTTCGACAAAAATTTCTCACCTGAAAAATAGTGTCTGTGGTCTCTTTCAAGTGGATTCAACATATAAACAAGTTTGCAGCTTCTTAGGACGCAATATATTATGCTCAAAATTGTCTCGTTAAAACATCGGAATTTTTTCGAACAAGGCAAGGCGATACCCTTAAAAAAGTCATTTTTCCACCAAAATTTCTTACCTGAAAAATATTGTCTGTTGTCCCTATTAAGTCTATTCGAATAAAGAAACAAGATTGTAACTTCTTAGGACGAACTATAATGTGCTAAAGGTTGTCTAAAAAGACCAAAAATCTTTAGAAAAATGCAAGTCTATAAACTTAGAAAAAATGCTGATTTTTGACCAAAAGTTCTTACCTGAAAATGGTGTATGTGATTTGTTTATAGTTTTTTGATCATATAAACAAGTTTGGAGCCTCTTTGGGCGCTAATTAATGTGCTAAAGGTTGTCTAGAGGAGATCAAAATTTCTTAAATAATATCAAGGCTTTAGCCCTGAAAAAAATGCCAATTTTCGACCAAAAATTTAAACTTTTCGGAAAATTTTCGACAAAAATCAATGTTTAGAACATATTCTACCAAAAAGCAGGGCACGTCAAAAAGCACAACATCCTCATGCATAGACATCATTTTTATCTTTAATTTACACAGAATATTTCAAATATATCCATATCTCAAGTTTTACATCCAGAGACTAGCCTGGTGGTAAAACAATAGTGGTAAATGCACAAACTAAAATGAAATCTCTAATAGCGTATTACTTTTAGATTTAAAACGAATACAAAAACATGCTTAATACAGATAAAACTTTGCCTTTAACAACAAAGTGGTCCCATCAGTTCCTTGCTGGGTGCATCTTCCTTGTTGTACACAAAGTCATAAAACATTTGTAAGAATTCATCTTCAGAGACTTTTCCATCAGAAGAAACATTTAGTCTCTTAAAGATATCTTTACCAAACTTGTCGCCTTCCAATCCAAGGCAGGTTAAATAAATTGAAAATTCCTCTTCCGACATTATGCCCCTCCCTTGCTTATCAGCTGCTCTGAACATCAGCGTTCCAGTGCGCTTCAGTATGTTGTCCCAGACATTAACCTTGGAGGTTCCAGGGATTATCAGGGTCAAATGCGATTTGATCCACTGTTCGAGATCTACAGAGTCACTTCCATTAAAAAAGAAACTCCACAGCTTTCCAAATAGATCCCTTAACTCATTTCCATCTGTCGAATTCAGACACCCCTTTGCTTCAAAAAGATCGACTTGGGAATTAATATCATCTCTCGTTAAATGACCTTTGCCAGCCTTATCGAATCGCTTGAACAATGTGCCGAGTTTCTGTTTCCACATTGGAGGGACTGGTGACGTCATTATTGCCTGAAAAGAAACACAACAGTTCAAAAACCTTTCTCATTAAGCATTGAATTCTACATTTTCGACTTAGGCCCCTTTAATTTCTACACTGTCGAAAAGAGGGTGTTAAAAAGAGAGTGTAATTATTTCACCAAGTTGAGGTAAACCGGGAACGTAAAATAGAGGAGTGCTAAAAAGCATGGCGTTTTAAAGAGCAAGAGAGCATAAACAGAATGGCTTTTTAAGGAGGATGGCGTTTTAAGGATCAGAGGTTTAAAGAAGCAGGGCGTTTTAACAGGCAGGGCGTTCTTAAACTAAAGGGATATAAAGAGCAGGGCTTCTTAAGGAGCATGGCGTTTAAAAGCGCAGGGCATTTTAAAGAGCATCACAGGGCAAGGTGTATAAAGAGCAGGGCGTTTAAGGAGGAATTATCGTACCTAGTAATGCAAATGGTAGACACTGAGCACTCAAATATGTTGGTTTAAGATGAGAAATACTAGCTTTCACAGCAACAGATTTTAAAAGACAAAGATTTCTTTATCTTTTGATAGCGACTATTCTTTCTTGAAAAAACACCATCATCCATTCAGATATTAAATAAACTTTACGGCTTCTTGTAGCCTCGCTTGTGGCTACCCTCATGCACAAAATGGAGTCCGTGCATGTTGGATAATAGGCCAGAAGAAATAGCAGAAATCCGGGTTACAGACTGCATCTGCAAAACACATCATTTTCAAAGATCTTTCGTGTCATTAGAGGCACGGCAGGATCTCATGCAGAACTTGTTGCTAAAGTGGAATTCCCAATCATGTTGCACGTCATTTGCTATCACGCTAAATCATAGCCTCTCTTCACAGGGATCTTATCATGTTGCTTAACCTTCGAAGTTTACAATGGGGTGGAAACAAAGAGTTTCTTGAAAGATTCCTTAGTTTTTTTATCATACCTCTGAACCAATCACTTCACTGGGATTTTTGTCTATTTTTTAAAAACATTGACATTCTTTGATAAAGTTTATAGGGAATATTAACTGGAAAGTAAAATAGATATCGACATTTATTATGTCTGAACTTATGCAGTTACAAAAAATATTAAGCCTAGGTATTGCGGAGATGGCAGAGAAGGGTTGAACTGCCAAGGAACAAATGCTAAAACGATTTATGTAAAAAGAGCAACAACTCAAACGTTAATCATTTTTCGACTTGGGTAAATGAAAAAATCAATTCTTTTAGAACTGTAGGCCTTTAAATTTTATTTAACTCCTAGGCTAACTGCCACGTTAAAATCACAATAAATATCAATATAATAAATTTTGAAACATCATTTCAATATTCCATTGCTCAGTTGACGAGTCACATTTATTGAAGCACTGAAGCAAATCCCGCCATTAATCAAAGTGGAAATGAGTTGATAAACACATGTACCGAAAATATAAAACCTTTTAAGATAAAAGTACAGAAACAACTATATACAAAAATACATTTCACGCGAGCAACGAACACAAAAAAATTATGAATAGCTAATATTCGCCCCGTTCGCCCCGGCACACGGGGCTTCATCAGCGCACTTTTCTTTAGCTGTGATAAAGACCCGCATGCCGGGGCGAACAATATTAAGCTATCTATAATTTGTTGGTGCTCCTTATTGCTTATTCCCGGAGGGTTGCAGTGTTCCTTGTTTTCAAAATTTTATCTACTTTTCGCCGCCACAATTATTACGCTGTAGTCCTTCGAACCGCTTGCTACCGTGTTCTTTTATTACTTACATACATATCCCCCATATGCTGCATTTACTGATTGGAAAACAAAGGATGCTCGATCTTCTCTAGAACCACGTCCCCAACCTCCCTCTATGATATAATTTGTTCCAATGGCACTGTTTAAGCCCAAAAGGCTTCCCACGTAAAACACGACAATTTCAAAGGGTGAACAAATGAACGAAACGATTTGCAACATTTAAAGATATAAGAGTTTTTAGATCGTGTAACTCACCAGATGTATTGTACTGATATTGGGTACTTTTGTTCACTATGGTCAGCAGGCAAATGAAACCTTCTGCAACTCTTCTTAAATATATGTCTAGCGTGCGTGTGTGTATTGAATTGAATGTAATTAACTAGTGCTACAACAACGATTAAGGCACGAAAGAAAATTCTCCACAAAAGCCAAATATTCCAACGGCTACACGCAATTTCCGCGATAACGAGTGGCGCCTGTCTTCTTTACTTTCTTCCCAACAAAAAATTCCGTGAGGCGTGCAGGTATTTCCCCACTGTTTCCAGTTCTCACTCTCACGAGACTACTTGCTTCTTAACCAAAGTACTCTGAACAACAGGGGGTCCAGGAACTTTGTATATTGGCGGTATGACGACGGATTATCATCGAAGATAGGATAAATTTATTTTAATCAGTCAAAAATGTCACGAAACAGGACCTGAGAAAAAATGTATGTCCTTTTCATTGATGCAAAGCATCTAAAAGTATCATTTTCAGGATTTTTGCTCTTTATAGCTTATATTTATTTATACAGGACCCGTTTATATTAATATAATTTGAAATGAATCCGCAATCATTTCTACATATTCTCTACAGTCTACACAATAAAGATAAATCTGTGACTGCAAACACAAATATTGGATAGTGCGACTATAAAGTCCTGTATCAACGGTTGTAATCTGTAGTTAATAAGGAGTCACAAGAGGTTTTCAAATAGTGCATGCGGGTCGAGTTGACAAAACGTGAAAAAAACAACCTTGGTGTGCCTCTGGAATAGAATCAACGGGTTCTTAGCTTATATCAATTTTTGGAGCTATCTCTTACTCTGGGTACCAAAGACTCAAAACCTGGGTATACAGCATTGCAGTGGCAAACCGATGCAGTGGCATGGCAAAGGCACTCAAACAAACTTTTCTGTGACTGGGTTTAGAGTATATTCTGAAGCTAGATTGAGACACTGCCACTGCCACTGCCACATTTCTAAATACTTGCCCACTCTGTTACGTCTCACAGCTTATCGCTGTCAAAAATATTACAATATTTGCATCCTCTCTACATTTCTTTACAAATAATTAATCTAAGAAACGCAGCAAGTATAAATATGTTTCATATTACAAAATGAATTTGCCGAAAATTTAAGACAGACAGTCCGTTTTAACAAGACTATGAATATAACATTTGGGAGATGGTATTCTGTTTTGTTGTTCATTACAATTCGTCAAGACAATGTAAAATATATATTAAACGGTAACGTTGTGACGTCATAAAGTCATTTGCTGTAAACAGACATTAGACCAGGTACCAAAGGATACAGGGCGCATTTTTATGGCATACGTGAAAAAGCATTTAATTTTAGATACTTCTTGCAATGAGAGGATCGCCAAAATAAATCACTTTTTAAACAATAATGAGTGTTTGTTAGTTGCTTGAAAAAAGCTTTTCTATTCATGCCCGCTATAAGAAAAAAAGGAAAACATATTTGAATACACCCTTTCAAGACCCCGACTCTAGCGAAAAGTAAACTTCTCTATTATTAAATGAAATTTGATTAGTACGGTATGTGGATTGTATTACCGCGTAACTAACACAATGTTGTTACCCAAGATCAATCATTTAGACCCTTTGTGTGTACCATGGTACCTGCCTTACATTATATACTTATCATATATATGTTAAATAAACTCGATAAAATTTTGTCAAACTACGCAATACACGACCACAGGCTACCAATTGTCAAATAAGCAAATTTATCTAAACTTGAAAACTTACCAAATGACTGAAAATATGCAGCAAACCTTTGTTTTATTACTTTTCAGTGAACTTCTTATTCAGAGCACTCTGGGTTCGCTGTTTCGTGTAAATGTTTCTTTTTATTCTGTCTTCAACTGAAGCGGTGGATGAGGACGAATAAGACTTCACTTGAAGGTCGCTAAAAATATAGAATTTGATAGTTTTGTTTTATGTAATAATAATAAGGGATAAATTTCATACAAATAAGCTGAATACAGAAATAGTTCACTGCCAGGGGAAAGAGATCTCCAGCACCAGTGTCTCAGGACAAGTTACAATTTACAATGAATACAGCATTTATCATCTTCTGCAGACAAATTAAAATAGCTGCAAACAATATTCCACAGCAGATGTCTGGTTTACATGTCTTTTTTATGATTGATAAAAAAGCATATTGAGTTTACAGAGCAGGGCGGCTCTAGGTTGCTACTTGAGTAGAAATTTAAAACTAGCAACTTTGGACTAGCAACTGAGAAATGTCCTGTTCTATACACCGAATTGCATGTACAGTTCTGCTTATACGGTATCGAACACTTTATGACAGACCGGTAAACAGTAATGTTCATTAAAAACATATTAAGACCAGGTAAACTGACGTTTTCTTTCATTTGTCAATTAAACAAAATTGAGGCTACCTTTGATTTACGCAAATCAATAACCAAATCTGGTACAGTCCTACGTATAAAGAACGTTAAATTTGCTCCAGTTTGATCAAGATTTAAACAAAATGTTATAAACATGAAAACTTGCAAGTACCTATAAGGCTTCAAGACGTCAACAAGTTCTTTTGATTAAGATTTAGGTTACATGTTAAATGATAAAAACTCACTGAATGAACTTTGCTTTTTCATCTGACCCTGTTTCTCGGCTTCTAACTTCTTTTTCTTCTTTTTCGTCTTCAAGCTAGGTAGAAGAAAAATAAGTAAAATTACGCTTAGAAAGTGAAAAGTAAAATTACGCTTCGAAAGATTTTTTAATTTACTTTGAATTGAAAATGGGCTAAAACAAAAAATAACAACACTCTAAATTTGCAAATGCCTATTAGGTGGTGACAGCTGTATTTCATGATATTTAATAACCAGTTATGAAATGTTAACAGATGTGAAATGTGCGATTCGGACCAGTAATGTCATGGAGGTATCGGGGCCCTACGAAAAAACTAAGACGCTCATTTTTAAAAATGTACTCACTGCTCACTGTAAGGGAACATTGATAAACTTTCTTTCTAAAATAGCGATTGCAAGATTTTCAAAATTATCAGGGTATTACAACAATCCCCGGATTTTCACAATTGATGGTTTTTCGTGAAATTAATGAAGAAGAAAACTTTTTTGTTTCATAGTTCTACAAATCTTCAAAGGAAAATAGTAAAAGCAATCTTTTTTATTATTGCTTTAATAACCTGAGGGATTTGTTATAATGTCTCCAGCTCTTCTAGGAATAGCACCGCACAACGTCTTTTAATAAATATTTCTTTAACATCATCAGTTAAATAAATTTGAAAATGGCTTTGAAAAAAGCAAACATTTTACAACATACTTAAAGCTTTTTCGTCTGACACTCCTCAGAGCATAAAACGTCAGAATAAAACGTCTGATTGGTCAACTATACCGGTCTTGTGCTTGCGTTTTTCTGATTGGCCTATTTCGATCCACAACTGGGTATATATTTTTCAAACGTGTTTTTTCGGAACCTTATTCTGACGTTTTATGCTCTGAGGAGTGTCAGACGAAAAAGCTTTAAGTATGTTGTAAAATGTTTGCTTTTTTCAAAGCCATTTTCAAATTCTGTACCGCAAAAAAATTGTTTAAATAAATTTATTGTATTCATTTTACTGCAAGCAAAGAACTGATATAAAAAACGATCTTGAATAGGTGAATAGGTCCTGAACTGTTTCCTCACCTTGTATTTTTGGACATTTTTACCTCTCTGGTTATCTCTCCATCTACGATAACAGATATAAATCATTCACAGCACAAGTTATAAAATAAAGCTTCAATAGAGTAAAAGAAGAGGGGAAGCGAAAATGTTAGTGACGTGGGTAGAATTGAGAAAACGTAGAAAACTAGCCTCAAAAAATATTTTCTAAAAAATTTTCACCAAATCTTCAAAATCAAAAAGCTTACTTTGCATTTTCCATCATCTCAAGTCTTTTCTTTTCCAGCTCTTCTGCAGTTAATTTCCTATTGAAAGAAAAATATATTTATGGATAAGCTCGAAACTTTAACCTTCTTTTGAACAAATACGAAGAACAAATTTGATTGCAAGTACAAAGACTGCAGATGGGCAGTCAAAGTACCTGGGCGATAAATGTACAATCGAAGTAAAAATAATCTAGAAATTATCTTGGGGTGTGATGCGGTAACAGATAAAAGGCAAAATAATCATCTAGAAAAACATTGAAACACGTGATATCTCCTGTGGATTGTTTAAAAACCGCATCACACCCCAATAGCATTGCTGATAGCAAGCAGTTTAGGCTCATCCGAAAGAGAGGTTTGAGGAGAAAACTGATTCTGTGAAATAGCGTGATAAAGCAAGATCCGCGGGAATTGTTCAGACTTTTGAAGCCCATTCGAGATTTTTATAATAAAAATAGATTTTGAAATAAATTAACTAAGCCCCGTCACCTATCAGAAACCAGGTCAAAATTCTAAAATGCATTGAATCATTGATGTTATTGGCAACAAACTGTGTTCTGACTAGTAAAGAATAAGACAACGATAAAAGAAAGATTAATTAAAAAATGCACAGTAAACATGGCTTACTTTGAGAGATTGTTTGAAATCATCCTTGCAGGGGGTTTCATGGCATTATTTCTCTTATATTTGTTATCTGAATCTGAATCACTTTCTCTTTTGCTCCGCCGTTTTGATGAATGCCTTCGGTGAGGCGATGAATCTGGGCTCGAATGGTGCCTTGTTTGCGAGCTACTTCCCTTTCTTGAAATAAGACCTCCATTTTCCTTTGATGATGCATTTGAATCGCGTATTGCCTTCTTTCCTTTTGGGTGTACTAGACCATATTCCCTTCCATTTTGCATTCTTGTTCCAGCATCTCTGCTCGCAAATGATTCATCGTCATTTCTAATATGGGAATCCTTTGACTTCTTTCTTCTATATTCATCCTCATCGTCGCTACTTATATCTCTCTTGTTTCGCCTTGATTCTTTTCTGAGATCATTCTTTTTGTCACTTCTGCCAAAAGACGATCGCTCAACATCATGATCATCTCTCCTTCTTGACTTAGGTTCTTTACCAAAATCCCCGTTTCTGTGCACCCCCTCCCTCTCAGATCTATCTTTTTCCCCTCTCCGCTGTTCATGGTATTTTGGTCCTCTTGTTTCTGTTTTCATGAGTCCCCTCGATCTGCTTCTGTCTTCACCAGAGTCATCTGAGCTTGATGATACAGATCTTTCTCTCCTTCTTGTTGGCTTCATTCTACCTTCGTCTAGTCTTTCCGTGGTCCGTGCTTTACCGTTTTTCTCTCTATATTTAATTCTACCTTCCTTCTCCATCTTAATATCCCTTTCACTATCATCACTCTCCAGCCCTGACGAACTTTTACTGTCGTATCGTTTTCTAATTTGCTGACTTCGATCTCCACTTCTACCTCTTTTGCGATCAATTCTATCTTCTCTTTTCCTCCCAGAGGTATGATATCTCCCATTAGACGAACCACCTCTTCTTCTATCATTTTCACTCTCTCCATTTAAATCATCTCCACTGTCGTATCTCCCTTTCTGTTGATCTTTCTCATTCTTACGTTTTTCTTTTTTATTCTTCTTACTTTTCTTGTGCTTCTTCTTATCCTTGACACTCAAATTGAGCATTTCTTTCAGCTTTCTCAATTTAATCGGATTTTGTACAAGTTCCTTTCTACTTTCATCTTCTTTTTTACGAATCAAAAATAAAGGATCTTCTTTTATCTTTGCTGCCATGTCCTTCACTGGGTCTGCAATATCTGGTACAAAACTTGAGCCGATTTCTTTATCCTACAAAATTGGAAAACAAAACTCACTAGAAATTGCAAGGACAGTTTTCTACATTCACAAAGTGTCTAAATGATAGCTTAAAATTCAAGAATGGTTCAGAGCAGGGTTGCCAAATTAGCATTTTTTATGCCAATTTCCAATTTTGGCCTATTTCAGAGTCATATTGTCAGGAACTCTTTGGCCTTTTTAGTAGATACTTTGAGGATATTCTTTGAGGATTTAAGATGCTGAATAACAAAAACAAACTCTTAATGAATAAAGCACTTTTACACAGTGATGACCCATATGCAAATATAATAACCTAAACTTATGATTAGCAAAGACACATATTAAAAGGCAAACCTTTTCTGTTCTTATTTAGGTTCGGAAAAATATTTAAAAGGTTTTTGCTTGCAAACATAAACAACACTGTCGCAGTGAAAGTTTGCAAAACTTTTTGATTTGTCCCTTTTATACGCATTTTGGCCTAAATTGGTCATCCGTTTGGCCTTCTTTTTTAAACTCTATCTGGCAACCCTGGTCCAGAACTGTGGCTTGTGGAATGCAGATCCAAGGGTCTTGGGTTCGGGTACTCCCATGACCAAACTTTCACATAGACAGAGTGAGGAGATTTGTCAGATATCTGTAATTCCAGTCAAAGGAGACACAAGGTGTGGTCACATCAAGAGGAAGGACCAGAACACTGCTTGATAAGCATAACTTTTTAGGGTCCTAAGAACAATCTTTGAATGCTAGGTACAAAATGAATACAAACACTTGCTCAATGAGAGTATTTGTGGTGTAGCTAGCATGAAAAACACTGAAACATGGGTGAAACTTCCTCCCAAGGATACAAAGCAGCTCACTTCTATCAAAAATAACACACAGAGAAAATGAAAGCAATACAGATTGTTAAAAAACTGAAAAGTTAACAATTTACTTCAGTCTTCATATGAAATTATTTACCAACCAGATGGAGCTACTGAATCAACAAATGTTAGCTCTCTGATCAGATATGAAAAATTGTAAGGTTTATTTAATCTCTGTAATTAAACATGTTAAAAATAATAAACACACAAGTGGATTACAATGACTTTCCCTTATCAAATCCCAATATGAGAGTTTCTGTCAAGGACTTCTTTTTAAGTTTGAAGTATACATAAAAACATTGAAACAATACAGATTATGTACCTCTTTTTTCTCCTCCTCTTTCAACACTTCAACATTCTTGTCAATCTTTCTTCCAAGAAGATATTCCTCGTGGTTAACTTGAGGACCAGCATACATCCAATCAAGTTTTTGACCTTTTTTCCTAAAAAAAAATAAGAAGGAAATATATTTTTTATACACTTTACATGACAAATCAATACAATGCTTCAAATCTAAAACTCAATAAAAATTATTTGTTACTGAAGCCTAAAAAAGGAGTTAAAGAGTATTATTCAGAAATATGAAATGCTATGAAATGTAAGACAGGGAAAGATTTAGAGCGAACAAAGATTGTGAACAGTGCAATGAATCATGTGGCAAGGCAAAACTATATAGAAGGGCCAATATTTTGCTAAAAGCTTTCAATATTGCTGCATTTCATTGTTCTGTTATCTAACTTTGGAGGATAGGTAGAAATAGGAAGATGTCCAATTGCTTGGGAAAAATTGATTTTATCCTACAATAATTGGACTGTTTTAGCACACATTTTATGACAACATTAAAATGCCAATTTTCCATAAAATCTTGTTATATGCCTTTACCATATTATTGATCCAAGCATATAAATAGATTTTCAATGTTCAATTCATTTGATTTGCACATTTCAATATTCAATCTTTCTATTTCTAGGTACAAAATATTCAGGAAAACATCACACATACTTTATAATCCCTTGTTCAACTGCATGCTGTTGTAAGGCCTCTCTTCTTCTCTCTTCTTCCAACTCTTTTTGAAGTTGCTCAAGTTTCTGTGCTTCATCTTTTGCCTTTTGCTCTGCCTTCCATACCCTCTCAAGGTTTTGTATAGTAAGAGGATGGAAGTGCTTTTTCATATTCTATAAAACAATAAAACATGATATCAAAGAAAAGCCAGTCAAACAAGGAGATTTAAGAAATAACTTTGAAATTCATTCTGAAAAATCAGAACAAAATCTACTTCAGGCTTACCCAAGGTGCTCCTTTTGTTAAATTATAATATTTTATACTATATTCATTATCCTAATAAAGTTCAAACTGTTCATTATGATGGCAGTTCAATCAAATATTTTGCCAAGAGAAAGTTAAATTGTAGCTTTTGAAATATGAAATGCATTTTCTCTTGACATTTAATCTTAAATTTTTTTGTTAAGGCACTTGGCAAAGATTATTGAGTTTATTGAGGAAAACCCATTCTCATTTTATTGAATTTTCATTGAAAAAAATGATTATTAAATGCTGTTTAGGAATAAAATGTAGCTTCTTTGAATAGAGATTACCAATATTTTGTCAAAATTTAAATCCTGATGACGAAATTATTGTCAAATATTTTGCCATATTAAAGATAAAGCATATGGAAATTTCGCTTTGTCTCTCTGCAACTTTCTCTTTTTATTCACAGCTAAGAGTGCATGGTTGAACAAAAAAAATGAATGCAATGCTACTGAAAAGCCTCCTTCCGAGGTCGTTTAACGTTAGCAGGCTACATACGACAAAACCTTGCCCTGTTTCGTTTTTTTGTCCTTCTGTAAAAAGTAACAATACTGTATTTTGCCTAAAAAGGACATATTTTTTCCTTCCAGACATTATCTATCTTAAATAAAAGTCGCCCAGTGTTAATAAAAGAGTCAGAATTCTTTCCTGTTTCAAAATGGCCATGGATGGCCTATATTAAAGTGCGCAGCACTACTCATGAGCCAGGCTACCAAGTTTTCTATACTCCAACGAAATTTAGCGTTGAATAACACGAAAGTAAAATAATTTGCTAAATAATTTGTTACCAAGTCTCCACCACCCATGTTTGCGAATTTATGGATAACCAAAACAGAGAGAACCAGACAAACTTTGTTTCCAAACGACGATCAGTCTTCGACTGCAAGGCAGCAAAATGAATTGAATTTCTATCGAAGTACTTCGTGTATGACTAAACTTACAAAGACGGTTCGGTTGCATGTACAGGGTGCCAGATGCTTGTTGGGGGCGAAATATTTTACGCTTGACGGCCAAATTCAGCCAGCCAAATAAAATATACAAAAAGCTACATTTTGGCTAATTCTTTGGAGTAATAGTGTAATCAAAATTGACTTTGTTTCTTACAAAAGCTTCCACTTGTTTTAAATTTCAATTTTCTGTTATCTTTTACTTTGTTTCTTGCTCGGTTATTTGCAATTTTGAGATAATTTTAATAGAATGTTGAATGTTTTCTGTTCAATATGCGCAATAAATGAAAAATTTGAAACTTTTGTTTACATTAATAGTAGAAAATTTTTTCAAGGATCACAAAGTCAATAATTAGTAAGCGGGGAAGAAGGTCGTCTATTTTCGACATCAGAGTATACCTTTATTTTTAAATGTAGCAATCTCCTACTTCGCAACCTTACATTTGAGTCTGAATTATACATTCATTAATTCATTTATCACTTGGTGATCAATTTATAACCACATCCTATCACAACAAAAAACCTTAAGACGTGTTTTATCAAACTTTTTACGACCAGTTCACTTTTATTGTCGCATTTTTATCAGAATGCGAGAAAAGTTGTCATTTTGTTCGATAGAATCGTTAGCAATTCTATATATTTTATCATCATAGTCCAGTATACCTAAGTTTGGCAACTGATGTGAAATCACACCTTAACTGGCCAAGCCCTTAATTCCCCCTCAAAATTTTATAAGAAATGGCCATTCGGTGCTAATCCGAATCACAAGAAGAATCCGGATGTGTCTGTGGCAGAAAATAGTTATTTTACAAATTATCAAAAAGGCAATGATACTTTAATGTTCATGGGAACAGCAATCGATGATTTACTAAAATGTCCATTAAACGACAAATGAAATGACAGGTTGAAATGAAATGACATTAGCAAAGAGACTGATGAATGCAGAATTGAGTACAATAAAAATCAATGATGGATTGTACAAAACTGACGCAAGGAAAGAAAATGAGAATTTGATGACCTAAACTGAATCACTACAAAACAATTATTGGTTTCAAACATGCAGAATTTGTATGAGATCAATATCCTGCTCAAACTTGGAAAAGGAGCAGAACTTCGTTATACACAAAGATGCTGAAGGAACGATGACTTATATACCCATTCTTTTGCGGTAATACAATAATGTAGCTGCATAGTGGAATTCCTTTCTGTTCGTCAATTCGAACAGTGCAAATGGTCTCGAAGCAATTTCATGGATGTACTCCAATCGTAAGACTTCGCTACAAATCACGTGCAAATAAAAAGATGAGACGAAAAATAAAACAAAGCATTTACAAAAGTTTACTTGGATTCCACACACATTATCTAAATATTTACTAGCTTCATAACGTACAATAATTGATACGAAAATACTCATTAACCAGCGGTCATACAGGAAATCACAAATGAATATATGATTAATTTTCAAATCACATAACTCAATACACATTGAAATATGACATCACTGATTCTCACATAAATTAACAAATATCTGCAAAAACATGGGTCAGAAAGGAAACAGAAAATGAAAAAATTTTAAATGAAACAATATTCTTATTTTGAAACAAACTCGAGAACTTAACCAAATAAGATATGAAGTAAGATGTCAGTTCTTATTTTTGGTTTTCTGAGCGATATCAGCCAAATATCGCTGAAATAAATAGCATATAATTGCTTGAAATTCATTAAGAACTTCTTTGGTTCGAGCTTGGATAGCGTGCCGTATTTGGGGAAATGTTTAACTTAACAAATTGCTACTTAATCGGGTCTTAAGTCAATGCCAGATGACAGAAATCATTTTATGCGCAGAAAGGTAACCAAGTGTACCACCATCCCTGTTGGCTACCAAAATTGTCAGAATTCCCGGACTATTTGACATCAAACACCATGAAAAATGGATACAAAGATTTAAAATAGGCCAAAAAGCGGAAACAGTTCATACTTCAGTACTTTTGGTCCGACAACAGAGAACAAATTTTGGATAGTGACCAACCAGGTTTGCGGGCATTCATATACCGATGCAGATCGGAAGTAGCGCGAACAAAGAATGGTGTATTATTTGATTGGTTACTTGTTTTTGACAAAAATTACTTCATTATTGACCATACACATTTCCAGGCTATTGATTGTTAAATAATAGTCTCCGCTTTTCCCGGTTATTTTTAAATTTTCAAATAAATGTAATTTTTTAATAATTTTAAATTATAGATATTGAGGTAAATGATTACAATGTACAAAATATTGAAAAAATTAAAGGCTAAGAGAAGTTTCTAGGAATTTTGTCAGCATTGTAAATAAATGATGTGTTGAGCCATTGCCATTGATAGCATGTTTGTTGTCAGGGTAGAGCTAAAATAAGAAGAATCGGGCAATCATTGGTAGGAAATTGTGTCACAAAAGATTGCTATCCCGAATAAATCCCTAATCATTCCTAAATTGATCATTCCTAAACAAAACCTACATCTATGACAGCTAGCTGCACAGGTAACTTTTTATCAAATCTTCATGGTACTAGTTGGATTCTAAAGAAAAGTAAAGATGCTTGATGACATCCAAACAACTCAAAGGCTCCGAAAGGCAAAAGGCTAGCATCCACCTTATATACATTTCTTAAGTAACCTTATATGCATATTTTATCCACCATATATCTCAACTTAACAACTAACGCTATTGCTGCTGTAGTTTGCTAAAAATGCACGAATTCACAACAATCGATACATCGTAAAGAAAATTCAAATTAACACATGAAAATAGAAACACATAGTAATGAATATAAAGTAGATGTCTGTGATGTGTGGTGCGTTGCTTAGATTATTTTTAACTTATATTTAAAAGAAAATCATCAGTATTATTCATGAATTACAGTGTTATGCTAAATGTATTTAAACAAAAAATGTCAGGTATCAATGATTGTCTTAGCATTATTCATGTTGACAACACCAAAATGATTCAAGATTTTAATATAAAAATGTTTTTAAGGTTCACACAAATTAAATGCATTTCATTTATGGATATAAAGACTCAAGTTAGAAAATTACGTGAATTAAAACTATTCAATGTCATAAAAATTTTTAAAGCTATGAAACAAAAAAAATTCTACGAGCTTTAAGCAGCAAGATACTTTACATTATCAAGCATCATATTGCAGCTGAAAATTCTATAAAAATTCATTTTCTTTTAACTTTGATTTTCATTTTGACATTAATATTTAGAAAAACTGAAGCAATACTACAGAATGAACGGTGCTTTAAAGGCAGTCTGCTCCAAGGGTGGTTTTCGCCCTTTACAAACATAAATGAACCCTTATTGTCTTTTCAATACAGAATAGATTTTTGTAAAAATTTATAACCACAAAAATCCTCACAAATAATATGGAACAGACTGCCATAAAATGCCGTGAAAAGAAAGCAAACAAATTTCTGCGTACAAATTTATTACAATTCTATTTCTAAAATAGGCTCTTGGAAAAAACCGTTTCTGAAATCATCACGATTCAGCTGCCCAACTTTTATCTTTAAGAATTGTAAAGCTTAGATCTGAGAAGTTTAGCTTTTACATATGCACTTGAAAATTTATGCTTTCACCCTGACACTTTAAAGTTTAAAAAGTTCGCAGATTGAGTTCTGAAAACAGAACTTATGAAATTAAAGTTATATTTGGATTTGATTGTCACATTTTCTTTAAAGCTTCCACTCAAATCACGTTCGAATTTCATTTGAAAAATCACAACACTATTGATTTTTATGGTTTTGATTTTCACAATTTTTACTTCTGTTGGCAATTTTTGTGTATATGAGTGTTTCTAAATTTGTCGATATTTTCAGTCCCATACCACGAAATTCCACCAACTAGTTTTTTGATTCACAAAAGCTTTAGATTACTCTCAAAGAACTGCAGCATCAGAGTAAACAAGTGGTATCTCGTAGTGTTGCCACGAATGCCATGAGCTTTATCTGGATATATCTGGAAAACATAGCCCCATAGTTCATAAAAGCATCTGCAATGATAGGCTATTTTCAAACCTGATTTGAGGCTGGAATGATCTACCGGCGCGAGAAAATGCGTTGGGACAGACAATTTTGAACGGACAAGTCGACTCTTACGGATGATTCAAAATTGCAGGCTTCATGTTATTAAAATTATCCCTTTGGTTACAGGTAGTATGTTAATTGTTATTTTGAAGAAAGCTGGTTAATGAAACAGATGTTGCCTATTTGGACAAGGATAATAATTATGGTTAAGCTGTCTGACTATAAATTGCTGTTCACAGTCAATCCAGGTTAGCATAAGAGTTAGAATGTTAACGTTAGGTTATGAGAATCATTTTGTCTTATCAAATTAGTAAGTGCTCATTGTAATAAAGATATATGTGCACAGTTTCGTCTCTTGTCCTAACTGTCAATAGTCAAACGTTGTCTTGTGTATTTAATGGGAGGTTTCCGTATTTCAAATCTATACCAAAATTTTCCGAAAGATCATAGAGGAAAATATTGGGTTCCACTTGAGGCTTTTCGGAGAAATTTGTCGTGTAGGGTAAACCTGATGTAGCTAGTTTTGCTCTTGTGTATTTAAAGCTTCAATATCTGTTTTCTAAATGCTATGTAACGATACCCACACAATTGAGTGGATACGCTGAAATCAAGAAATTTTGAAATAAGGCAAGTGCCTGTTACGGCAAAACTATGAAAATATCACTAGACAATTTGGCTCTCAAAAGGTGTAGCAAAACCCTGAGTGACTTATAGTTTTTTTGTCTGTTCTTCGAGTGAAAACCTACGATTTATCAAAGCAAACCGTTGTTCGACAGTTTGATTGAAACAAAGGGTTAGCTATATCTTTAAACACTCAAGAAAGGGTGAAGCACCAAATATTTGTTTATGTCCGTTGTCGTTTCGTAAAAAAACGGTCGTTTGACTGGTCGCACGTCTCCTGTCACAAGAAATTTTATCTTGTCAATGGCACAAACCATGGGATTTTCAGCTTCCTTTTAGCCGCAAATTTTTCTCTAAAAAAATGTCTAACAAGGTGAAGAGATGCATGTTTGCACCGTCTCCCTGAATACCATGTTGTCTGTCCGGGTATACCTGATTAAAGAAGATATCATTGATCTAAAAGATATCCATGTTAACCATGCACGATTCTTTGTGGGTCAGGTAACTTTCACGGATGAAGTTACGGTTGGACGATCATTGATATACAGTGAACAAAAAAGCCTTTTATAAATCTAGTAAAGAGCATAATCTAGTCAGCATAAGAAGAAATGTAAAAGGCATAAAGACCAATTCAATCCTTTTGCAGTGAGAATGTATCAGTGACATTATAGTATATGGATCAACAAATATGATGATCCAAACGAGAACAACAAAAGTAAGTACTGAGAATATTGCCTTTCTTCATTCAGTTCTCAAGACAGCTACCTGTTTGCAGCTAGTGAAAATAAACCTGCTGGAAAGAAGGCAAAGTTTTTGCTGACAAAAAAATAGGATTTCTGGATGTCAATGAAATACCGATCACGATTCTAGAAGTGCAAGAGACACAATTAGAAAGCATGGCAAGCGTTATATGTAACATGAGGTACCTGCATCCTAAACTGAATGCTGTTTGAAACTAAGGCATTAGCGAGTTGCATCGATTGCTGTACGTGAACATTATCTACAAGGAAGAATTTCGGGAATTCAACGTAACAAATCAACATGTCAGATTGACTCCTTGCAGTCAGATAAATTTTTATGTAGGCTTTCGACTAAAAATCTAAATAATATATGTATATTTCTAAACAGTCGGCTTCTCCAAACTTTGAAACTCGGGGGAAGGACGCCTAGACGATTCTTTTCTCCGTGACAGAGAAGACAGTGCTTTCCGAGTCTGAAGGATACTAATGTTTAAACAACTCAAAGGACACATCAAGCAGGAATTCAGTTTTATACGTTTTCAACTGCCGCCAGACTGTATTTAACTGATCGAAATAACTATCGTTTCATTGATAATGGGCGATACTAAAGACATGTTGGTGTCATTGATCAAAAAAAGCAAGCTAAATAAATACTTAACTACCATTGAATTTTCAGGGAACCCATTGTTTTACATTATATATAAACTGTGAGCAATATTCCCAAAGATAAGCAAAAAGTTTTTACAAAGCAAAGTGATGAGCAAAAAAAGCAACAAAACGGTGTAAACAAAATTCCAAAGGGTAAGAAAGTTAAGATCATCTGGCATATTCACTCTTGAAAAACTCTGAGAAAATCAAGTAATAACCGTTTTAGGGCAGCAAACATGAATTTACATACCATCTCCTGTGCCATGGACAAGTAGAAACTTTTTAGTTTTAAAGTTCTGGACGAAAGGAAGCACCGAGGTTAACTGAAACAAAGAAACATCAATTTATCTCAAATGTCCAGCTAATTTTACAAACAGCCAAAATGGTAAACTGAAATCGAATAACTTTATGTCAACAGTGTCATCATACCTCATAGCCCTTGAGGTTGTCTTCCTTGGTTGGCAGTCCCATATACCTTTCTGTGTATATCGTATCTGAAAAATGACAAATAAAAAGCTTAGTTGAATCGAAAAAATCACTGCTCCACGGAATTCTTGCTACACAGACACAAATGTACTTTTGATATAATAGCTCTTTTTCAAACATAACAACTTCAATTTGATGGCGCCAAACAAATTCAAAGCCATTGCAGCCTTAGAACAGGCCATAACTGTCTATTTGTCACTAAATGTACAAATAATTAAGTGCAAAAATTTTTATCTGAAAGCAAATAATTCGGCAATTTCTGGCAATAAGCTACTATCAATATATCTAGGAACTTTTAAATGCTATGCTAACACGCTGCTGTGTAGATAAGGAAAACACAATATCTTCTACTTTACCATAATATCTCCAATCAGTCACAGGTGCTACTGAGATGCCAACTTTGTACAAATTATCACTAGTCGCCAGCACGCTTGCAGTATAGAAACCTCCGTACGACTACAGAGGAAAATATACCAGGTATTACTGTCATGTATCCAGAAATCTAATTCAACTATTGATTACGGTCAGTGCAACAGATGAGATCGTTTTCAAGATACCATCTTGCAAGAAATACATTCGTAAGAAAAAGCACCTAAAATTACATTTGAAGAAATAAATTAAACAGTATTATGAAACTTAAAAGGGGTCATCCAAAAAAGAGATTTTTAGTAAAAATATATTCAGTCTAGCCAAAAGTTTGATATATGGAACAGTAAGAGAGAGACAGACAAGTCAGATTGATATTTTTGTGTAGCGATGTTGGCGTCATAGAAATAAAGACCATTTATCTAGATATCATATGGAAACCCATAATCTTTTTTGAAAAATACAAATGGCTCGAAAAGAGGAGATGTTTTGCTAGAGTTACATCAACCAGAGCGAGAGACTCCGGCGATGAGCGAGAGGCAACTATATTCCCAAACTAGGATTGTTATTTATATTAAAAAATAGAGCAACTAAATAGATATGAGAACCAATACTTACCCATCCCCAGATTGAAAGCCTATCCTTGTCAACATAAGTTTGCTTGGTCAAGTGCCTTGAAAATGCAATACACATAGTTGAAACATAGTTGCAAATAATTAAGTAAGATAATAGTTGTATTACGAAAAGTCTAATGCAGTTATCTTTGAATATCCTCTGTGTTAAGTTCGTCTTTCATGGTTACACAAGGAAATATATTTTCTAGGAAAATGAGGTTCTTTTTAAAAAAGGTATTTCTGAGCAAAAAAATGCCTTGTAGTAGTCAACGAATTGTCATCGATTTAGAATCAAATAAATGTGAAAGCTGCCTTGTGGGCTTCTGCGAATCTTAAGGACCTTAAAGAATAACTTAGAGACATATTTATGAAGATGATATGGAGAGAGTTTATTACTAGCACGGACATACCTTGCAACGGCATTGGCATCGACTGATTCATATCTCCCTAGCTGCCTATAAACTGCATGTAAGAATCTGAAAAAAAAATGATGGCAAGAGTAAGCAAGAATTAAACAGATATAAACAGAACAAATATCCTCTTTCAAAAGAAATTTTCAACCGTATTTATCAAGCTTCAGGAACAAGCATAATCCTTAATTATCAGGTTTATAAGATAAAGCTTGTTAAGTGCCTCAAATCTTATTTTTAGGGCCGTGTCGAGACATTCCGTAATTCCATGAATATGCACGAAAAAGGCGTTTCATACTCACTTGTCACCATAGTAACCACATCCTCTTGCGTCGAAATAAACAACGATGATGTCATAGTTAGTTACCAAGAATGCATCCCAGCCAATGTTAAACGCGTCGATAACCTTGGAAGAAAAACATGCTTCATTGAAAATTAGCAAAACCAATGGCAACCAAAGATAGGCTCGTCATTGACTGTCGTCATTGGCGAAAACAAAAATTTTAGCAAACCGGCCATTAAGTAATGCATGTTAAGTAACGCATGTTACAGAAACATATATAGTCTCTTCATGCCAAAATAACTAGTCCCTGTTCAGAAATATGGAAGACAAACAAATGCTAGGCCTTTCTATTGCAAAATATACCTTACAATCACAGAAAGATAAATAATTTCTTAGATTCTGGCCTAAAATGAGACTACAGTCACATAACCCAAAGAAACCTACATATGGGAGCGTGCCTATCCTACCAAGGACTCTCCAACCAATTCAGAGAAAAAATGTTATCCTGCCAATAGTACAATAAGACTCAAGAGTACAATAAAGAGAGAAAGTTACCTTCTGAGTTCCGGGTCCACCATATCTGGAAGAATATTAAGAAAACAATTACACTTCAACCCATTTTACTGATACAAACAAATCAAAATAACACAGTAGGAGTGAAGTGATGAAGACCATCGATTTAATATGGCACAATCAATTTATGTACTTAGAAATTCTGAATTGGGCGTAATGCAGTTTTCTGCAACAACAGGCAACAAACAAACAGGCATCAGTCACTTACACAGAGCATAAGATAGCATATTTTTTATTCGGATCAAAATTTGGGGGTCGTAACTCTTGCACTGGAACATCTAAAAAATAAGTCAGGAGTTAAATAAGCTTTAGGATTCAAACAAATCTTCTAAAAATCTTTAGCAACAAATTTATGATTCGTTCAGATGAAATCAAAACTTGGAAGATAGGGGGAAACTTCATTCAATATAAGTGAAAAAGTAAAAGTTTTATTTGCCATCAAAATGATGGTTCTAAGTTGCAGCTCCAAGTTTTACGATCCATGTAATCATCAAATAGCCGTTAAAATGCTTACCAAATCCATCACTTTTGATTGTGTATCTTACTTGCTTTGGCAACGATCTCTGCTTCAACGAAGATTTCAGTTCCTTGTTGTCCTCCATCAAAATCACTAAGAAAAGGAGTAATGAAATCATGACCAAGTTACTTTCTTAAAATGACATCATGACAGAGTAAAAGCCAACCCAATAAGACTTGGAGAAAATTCTGCGCACATTTTCTAGATGATTTACTTTTAAGCACTGGTTTATTCATATCAATACCAAAAGAAAATTTGAAGTCAGTTTTTCTTAATGCAAGGTATTAGCAACCATTAAAAGGCAACTATGTGTGGGCATTCTTCTTTATGTTTTATACAAAATTATCAATCGAATGCAAGCATAAGGGGACCTGTTTGGAAAGAAAACATTTCTTACAATACATTATAACCCAACGCCGAACTCACCCCATCTGGCAAGAATGCTTAGGGAACGGAATGCTTTCAAACATTAGAAATGATAATACTACAGGCGATGAAAGGTTATGTTGTAAAATGCACGCTACACAGCATAAGATAGCACTATTCATGAGGTATTCATAAGGTTACGCCAACCCTCATTTGTTAAAGTAAAGCACTTACTTTTGCCGCTTTTCAGATTCCTAAGCTTTGTAAATGGAACAACGGGCCCTGAAAGAGTAGCTTTTTACATCAAAATAATAGACAGCAGGATAAAAAACAATTTAATAATCCTTTGAACTTCAATGGTAACCCATAGTGGACACCAATAATACAGAACTGAGTCGATTAATGTAGGTCATTTGAATGAATATATCTTACAGCCAAAGAGGTTTTCAGGTCACTTTCAACTTTTACATTGGGTTATGTAGTTATCAAAGTCGGCTGGAAATGATTATGATGAACATAAATCCTTGTTTTGGCTTGGCTAATCCAATGTTTTGGCTCCTTCATACCTTGCAAATAAAAATATATACATCAAAAAATAAATTATTAAAAGTAGAATCACGGACAGATGCAGTCGAGGTTTATAACACCCCCTCATTTGACGTTGACATCACTACTTTTCAAAACATACGCTTCTTGGGGAGAGGGTTAAGTGTGGGACAACACAAGCATTCTATCATCCTCATGTTTAGGCTTTGTCACAACAGCCAAGTCCAGAACTTTAGCCACAATTATCCACATTAGCAATTTGCTGCCTAACTTCAGCAATCTGAATAGATACCAATTTCACTCTCCGTGGATAAAATATTATACTAGTTTGTTGAGATAACATAAGTTTGGTGTAAACCCCATCTGAATTTTTTTCTAAAAACAATGAAACTAAGAGAATACGGATTATTTAGCACGATTACAGTACCTTGGCATAATAAATTCACCCATGTGCACTGTTTGCTGAATTGTGGATAATAGTAGGTGCATCCATTATCTGGAATTGGGATGAAAGCAAAATTTAGTTGCTGCGCTAGGAAGTATAGGCTTGAGTTACATGACGCCAGATTGGTTTTTCGCCTGGTACAAGGGTCTCACTTAGATGATGCAGAGGCATTCCATAGTACTTCAATAAAGCTTCGCTTTGTCAAACAAGAGTGAAAAACACTATGGTCGTGGGGTGAAGTGAAAGGCACTCTGGAGTAATCCAAGGCTATTTTTAATCCGGAGCCTCCTCAATGACTTTGTTGGTCACTCCTGCCTCTGCAGAGCACAGCAATCCAGCGTCGAGTTGTTTGGATGCCAAAAGAAGTGAAACATTAAACGAAATGAAATCAAACAAATTAAACAAGGGAATTACTATCATTTCGCATTGGGGAGGCCATTTTGAAGTGAAAACCTATCTAAAATCGCGTGGAAAACACAACAGCTTTTAGATGTCATAACACACTACGCTAGGCCTAATACTCAAGAATACAGTGCATTTTTAAAAACTAGTAAGTAGAAACAGATCTAAAAATTATATACCATCGGCAAAACTACAAGTGATACATTTCTTCTCCTTTGTTTTGACATTTAAACTGTAAACGTGACGTTCAGCAGGGTGTGTTTCTGTGCTTCGATAATACCTAGCAAGCAATGAAAATGCGTTATTACAACCAACGAGAAAAAATCAAAGGAAATTCTTTTCGAAATGTTGATAATGGGGCTAAGTGTGCAAATTAGAACCGCCCTGTTCTATTTATTTGTACAGTTCTGCCTATACGGCACAAAGTACTTTCATGACAGACTAGTAAAACATAAATTCTCACACTCTATCAAATAAGTTATAATTTCACCACTTATAAGCTCAGGCATTGTGCACTTACACAATTTCACCGACAGGGTCAAAGCACACGACATCTTGGGCCTCCCATTTTCCACTAGTGAGGAAGTTCACGCTCGCGGTGCCCTAGTTTTAAAATATTAAAAAGAATTGTGAAATATGCTTCGTACAAAAAAATAATGATTTATTTATAAAAGATAACAGATGACTGCTTTGAACGGTGGGAACATGAGAATAAGCATAGTTGGATAACAGTGAAATATGGCTGTATTGTAATAATTGTGATATATAAAAATAGATGGTGGCAACTGCAAGCAAATGTAGAAGAGATATAACATTACAATCAATCGGGTCAGTTTCAAAAAGAGCAGGAATTGAACCTGGAAAGTCTTACCCCGGTTTTCACTTGCGCGACATGCCTGAAAAAGCCAGCACTTCCTTCATCTTTTGGCAGCAGATTGATGAAGTAACTCCCATCATTGGCGAATTTTGGCTTAGGGTACTGAAAGAATACGGGAAGATGTTGACAAAATGGGTACATACTTGAAAAAACACGACCAAAAATAATTCATTTCGCATCCCACTAATGACACATTGACATAAAACGAGCGGCAAACTCAGACCTTCGAGTTCGAGCACTGTTTAAATCTACAAACCTATTGAATTAAGGATGTTTTACTTCAACTACAAATAACAAGTGTTGTGTAACACAAATGCACCTTTTTCAAGCAATAGCACTCTGAGCAGTGCCACCATTATCAACGTCAAAAAATGAACATCAAAGACATATATCCTATACATATATGCTTTTCGTGGCATTACAATCTTAACTGCGTTGAGTTATGCGCTTCAGTTTTATAGCACGAAGTTCTTATGAAAAAATTTTCAAGTTCAGACCAACTTACGTCATCGTCGACCCATCCTTTTTCAACGGTGTGCTCCTCAATCTACAAAAAGTTTTTCCATCAAAAAGACCCTTTCCTAATCAGCAATACAAGTTTAGTATACATATTTGAAGACTTTGAAAGTCAGAAATTGTGATTAAAAAGAAAAAACGTCTGTAATAGCAAAGTGTATTCATTTGGATCATAGTTACACGCACGATAGTCAAACTGCTAATGAAATGATGGCATGAATTCAGCTGTTCTACGACTTGATTGGTTTAGAACAAAGAACATGTAGGAGGATTGGTTTAGACTGAGCTAATCTCTCCCGTCCCTTGAAGTATGTTTCTTGCACGAACACGCTGCGTTAAACTTTGATTCAATAAACATTGATAAATGCATCAGCTCAAATAAAATTCGGTACTGTATTTGTGCAAGAATACTCCAAACAATACTTTGTCGAAGATGCTTTTCGATCACTGCCCATAGGCAAAATCTACTACAATACAAGGTATTTGATGTTTGATACTATTCAACAAAGCCATCAAACGAAAGGTTAAGAAATACTCTACCTTCTTATTAGTCAAGCTGTCAAGATCATAATACAGGGTTATCGTGTGGTTCTGTGCTCGATTCATCCAGCTGACATAGACCTGGTGCTTTGTATACGCAGCACCACCTCTCACGAATTGCATGATGTAGTAATAATTCTCTCTAAAGATAAAATAGCGACTTGAGAAAAGAAGCACGTAGAATTTTGGAGCTTATGTGAAAAGAGAATTATACATAAAGTTGTTGCATACGGTTAGACTAAAAGAAATGCAAACAAATGCCTCATGAAGGGAGTAATTTCTAATTCCTACTTCAATAAGAAATCTTACGAAGAGGCATTTCTATGTGAAAAGTGGTTCACGATAAAAATCTCTCTCTAACAAACCATGAAAGAATATGATTGATAATGAATAAAATGGCTATATCAATAGCTGAGCGGTTAACCTTAGGTCTAACCAGTTGTTTTGGAAACATCTGCGTCAAATGATCCTAATTTTTTTGAAAGATTTTCTTCTTCCATTCTACTCACTATATACCAATCTCCTGGATATTTCTTTTACTTTGACAAATCTTTGACAATTTATAAGCATTAAATAGTGTAATATATACCATCTTCCACTCAAACTCTTTCTCATTCATTACCCATACCATCTCTGTGGTATCCCCTTGCGTCATATGAGACATCTCATTAAAACATCTAACCTCCATTCTCTTTATCAATGCTCACCCCATTCTTACCTCAGAATTATTTATGCATTCGCGGCGCATCTAAATTTAAACTGCATTTATATATATACATGCGTTGGTTAATTGATTTAGTTAGTCAAGAATAGTCGCCAATAGTCACGGAACGACATACATCGAATCAAGCTTTGATATTCTCCTTTCTGCCTCCCCATATTCTGTTCACATTATACATGACTCATTGGATTGGAAACAACAATATAGTGATAGTAGATGGATGGAGATTCCAGTTAACGCTCAAATTTCTAAATAAAGACGAATCCATTTGGCTTGTAAGAGTGGCCAAAGCTCCAACATTAGTGTATAAAACTAGTTTTTACTTATCATTGTTCATCTCATTACTCTGAATCAGATTACAATGGAATTAAGCCAAAGTACAAATCATTGTAAATTACTTACATTCCTTTGAATACACTGGGGGGCTCAAGTGCATTTAAAACCACATTATTTCCAGAGCTTTGCACTACATTCTCCAGATTGACAGCAAACAAGGAAACAAAAGGGTTTTCATACCCCGGCTAAAATCGAAACAAATGAGATGAGACTAGGTTAACAATTTTAAGAATAAAATAAGATATTATTAGAAAAGCAATATATGAACAAATCTCATATAAACAAACTGGAAAGAATAAAATATAATATTCAAGTGGTTATTTCAAGTGGCTAACTTTCAAAGCAATTCCTCAACGTATAAAAGACACATTGTTAACATTAAGACAAAATCTTGCCGATAAGATTGATGTTGTCTGTGGTTTGATTAAAAATTGTTAACTTCTAATAGACTATCCTTACGTAAACATACCATAATAACTATGTTTTATAAAGAAAGGATCTTTGTTATTTGGAACTATTTGTTAGATTCAAATCCTCACAGTTTGGCAGCCTTGAATAAAAGATTGTATTTGTTAACAATTCTTTGTTAGGAAAATGAGATAGAATGGTTCAATCCATGTGTTTAGTAGCAGCTACCCGTGGACTTTTCCCCGTTGAAACTGACAAATACATTTAGATACCTTTGGGTAGGCAATTTTTTCAATCTGCGTGTAAGCATTTTTCCTTGGTCCATATTTGGTGAATTTGAAGTATCTGACCAAACTAGAGTTGAACTTTGAGAAAATGAGCCAGGTGCCATCCGCAGAACACTCCAATGCATAATCAGTAGCCAGGATCTCCTCTGAAACGTTAACAAAATTAACATATAACATTTATAAAACAGCAACTTGAAATATGACTGCTAGGCCTTAGTCAACAATAAACTGGACTTAACCTTTTTTTACATCAAATCGATTAGGCCACAACTTGTTAACATCATACATTAAAAAAGTAAAACTTGAAGTTACCCTCATAGACCCAATCTGGTACGCCATTGAAGATTGACTTTGGTATACCATCTTTTGTTATTTGATATGACGTGGGACTTGAAGCTTGATGTTTATAATAAATATTGTTTCTGAACACAAAAACCTAAAATATAAAGAAATTGAATTCAATATAAAATAAAATATAAATATAAAGAAATAAAATATAAAGAAAAGGTAGAAAAAAGCTTGAAATTTTATTCAAAGCCTTTTGTTACTTTCATCTTGTTATTTAGGTAAGATATTTAGGAAATGCTCATGCATCATTTCACATAAAAATTTTCTTGTGGCATTTTAAAATAAAGCGTCACAATTGCCTAAGATGAAAATCTTATCTTAATATAAAAATATGTTCTCCTTTCCAAGTGAAACAATGAAGTGTAATTTTGATAGCTAACATACAAATAGGAATGTTTTTACAACACTATGAGTCAAATTTTGCAAGCTAAACAGAAAATTTTAACTTACAACTGAGTCCTTTGGTCCACACCAGGTGGCATAACGGATCTGCTCAGTTGACCCCCCAGGCAACGCCAGTCTTGTTATTTGTCTGATAAAATTGAAATTTGCAAACAAAAACTTCAAGCCTCATGACATTGAGAGGAGTAAACAATAAAAACTTTGTCTGTTCAAACACAATCAATGTTCGTTGAAGACATTGACAAGGAACTCATGTATTTCAGTATCATTTCTTTTCCTGCCCTTAAATCTAACAAAATTTCACAAATGAATAGGTGATATACAAAAGCATTTCTGCATAGTTATTGGAAAACTGCATGACTCCAACGGATAGCAATAATTGACTTTCCCATAAAATTCTTCAGTCATTTCATAAAGTAGAAACTGTTTCGTCATAACAAAACCAAATACGCATGTCTTTTCTTATGAATTCATTCCTCTTCTGATTCTGGTTTTCTCAATCAAAAAAAGTATAAATACATTCAACTAGTAGTTTTTATCCAAAATTTCATAGTCAAGTGGATGCTTTTTTGAAGGTAGTTAGCATGACTAAATACAAGAAAAATATGAATTATTAGCTATTGTACAGCTTTTTCAATGAAAATTATACAATGTGCCAACAATGCATTTCTACACTTCTTATGGCACATGCTCCCTTCACTGCAATGAAGTAAGAAAAACAAAAGTTAAGAAAAGAACATACTTGTCACTGACTTTACCAAAATAGTAGTCAGACATTGATGAATGTCTGTAAAGCTAGAAGAGATGGATTAATCCCTATGATTAAAATATGTCCAAACAAGACATTATAAAAATGTGTGAACAAAGGAGAGGCCACAACAGCCGGCAGCTCAACAGACTCCGATGGTATAATTGTGAAGAAAAATCAATAAAATAGTAGTAAATAAGTAACAATCAAAGTGATGAGAATGAACAACAGCAAACAGATATAAATAAGTTATGGCTAAGTCATAAAAATGGCTTGTGATGGTGTCAAACATTTATATAGTAGCAGTTGAAACGAGTAAAGAGTAAAAGCAATATGTTATCAAATAAAAAAACTTTGGATGAAACATTATGCCTAATAGACAGCTCAACATTTAGAGCTACAATCAAAGCCCTGGCTACCAACCTGTCTGAAAACATCCAGGAAAAGTTAAAAACTTTTTTTCCTAAAGAGAAAATGTAGCCTGGAGAGACTTGGGATAATAATTGCTGATTTTATTGATAACAGTAAAGCTTTTGTGTAAAAACCCTAGCTTATTGTTACCATGAAAAGGTCTGCAATTTTCAATGTTCCAATATTCTGACTGAATTTTCCCATATGCACATGTCAACAAGAATAGTTTAAATATCAACTAAGGATAGTTAAAATTTCAGAGATCTGTTAATCTTACTTTCGTTGAGTTTTCCTTGAACATAATCCATTTTCTGTCTTTTGATAATGTATAACTTGAACCATGTTTATCCTTCAAACAAAATATAGCAAAACATTAAAGGCAGTGTGTCAGGTTATTTATTAGCTGTTGCTTGTTGAATTTCAAATGCCTGCAAAATCAGAGATGCATGACAAATAAATATATTTGATAAAAGCAAGCAAGAAACCTCCTTTGTTATAAAATGAAAACTCACTTAAATAGAATGGGAAAAAAACTATTAATTCTTAATGGGAAAAAATTATACAATGCACCAAATTTCACACAAAGAAAATTTTTGTTATATATTTAATCAAAGTTGTCAGTACTTACAATTACATCATCTGAAAGGAAAGTTGATGAAGAATTAGTGGTCAAATTGAACATTTTTATTCCAGCATCTGGTGAGAGGTGCACATAGCTCACATCTGAAAGAAAAGACACCAGTAAGAAAAAAAATGACACGGTTTCCGTACCCGAAGAATTATCATTTTCCTCTAATTAGTATCCCGCTTTCTATTGCTTGCGGCTACGAAATGATGTTGACTCAAGGTCATCAGCATGTCCCTTTTGCCAATTTTTATTTCGGTTGTGCATAAAGAGAAGTTGGCATAGTTTCAAAGGTTTCTGCAGCACAAAATTCAGCAATTGTCCACTTGTACAATGGAAGGAATGGCTACTGTGGGATTTAAGGTTTTCTATTCGATAAAATTTTCAATTATTGACAAAGCTGTTTGATACCACTAACAATCTCCATGGAACTTTTCTCACATCATTGGTTGAATTGTAATTAGCTGTTTTGTCAATGGAACAGTGCTGTTTGTCATAAAGAAACTTCCAGAATATTTGACGCAGTTAAAATGTTCACCTTCAGAATCTTACTACAGTGATCACAAGCCACTTTTCTCACAAAAAATTTTTGAATGAAAGGATAAACTCTTCAGGTTTGCGATATTTCTGCATAATCATGAACTATTGTGAATGGTTGTGAACCAGCATTAATCACCATTAAGCAGTGTTAATAATCATGAATCATTGTGAGTGTCTGAGAATCTTCATAAGTCTTCATAATAGATCTGCGAAGGTCATCGTGAATCAGCTCAAATCCGATCATGAATCTCTGCGAATCATTGTAAATCGGCATACTGTAAAAGCTCTATTAAGCCACCCTCTCTATTAAGCCACCCTCTCTATTAAGCCACCCTCTCTATTAAGCCACCCTCTCTATTAAGCCACCCTCTCTATTAAGCCACCCTCTCTATTAAGCCACCCTCTCTATTAAGCCCCATTACCATTACCATGCCAAAATTCAAACCCCCCCCCCTCTCTAGTAAGACCTCCTCTTTAGCCTCTGAAGTCAAACAACGTCTGGTGTGATGATGATAAGATCATGTGCATACGGCCCATGTAAAGATTTCCTTGTGCGCCTTAGAAATCAAGAGGATACTGATGTTGATTCTTTCGAAGAAATCCTAGAGCATTGTGACATTTTTATAATATGTTTTATTTTAATGATTAATAAGCCCCCCCCCCCTTCTAAAACACGCTTCCCTCTAGGACTGAACAAATAAATAAGCCCCAACGGGGCCTCATATAGCTTTTACTGTAAATTAAAACGAATCAGTCCGAGAGATGTACTCCACCGTTAATGACAATTTCAACAAGATTAAATTCTCGACGAGACCCTTTATTCTGACATTATTCTTTATAAACATTTTCATAGAAAAGCCCAATCCATCTTGCTACTGCTCTTTACTGAGCTCATATTAGGTACCAGACATCTTTTTCGTACATAGCCATTGGGCCCCTATGTTATTGCTTTCTATTTAGTACACTGTTATAGAGGAAATATACTACAGTTTCATGATCATTGGGGGGCAGCCCGAGCTTCCAACAGCCCTGATGTCAATTACTCAACATTAACTAAGGTTAATACATCCATAAACATGGATTGATGATGTCCTGAGAATGATAAGGAAACTGGGGGAAGATGCCCAGGATAGAATGGAGCATAGGAAGATTTTCTGCTCTAATGACCCTACCTAGTAGGAAATTTGCCATAGAAGAAGAAGGACTCTTGCTTAAAAAAAGAGTTTAGAAATTGAAAAATCAAAGATCTAAGACATTTTAGAAAATCTAGGCATAACATAACTCTAAGCATACATTACCATCAAGCCACTTCACTGAATAGCTCCTTGGAGAGAATGTTCCAGTCATTGCATCTTCAAAAGTGATTTTGGTGGAAGATCTTGCTTGCCTTGAACCAAGCCATAGATCTAAACAGATCAAATTAAAATAAATTATTTCCTTTTTTTGATGTCTTTGAATAAGACTGTCACTGATCAGTGTAATGATATCAAACCTGCATCATGGAACAATTAAACATTTCATCTGACAGATATGCTGGGGAAATTTGCTGATGAGTGTTTTGGTGCATTATGGCCTAACTTGTGCAGTGGCCCCTCCTTGCCCCCTGCAAAACCAAGCATTTTTCTTTATTTTCTTATTGTTTTGCCCTTTTTCTTGGCACTTTGTTTCTCTTCAAGTGCAAGCTTCCCTGCCTTAACCCCATCATTTCCATTGAACAATATTGGGAATGATCCTTAACAAAAAGTTAAAGTGATCAGATATTGACTCATTAATGAGCTTGTGACAAAATTTCATTGTAGCTTAAATATCTTGACTGTTGTACCATATGTTGAGCTTCTTTTTTCTGTGCTGCACCAAAATCTATGCACATAAATACTGGGATTGTGCAGGAAGTAGTAGACCCAAAACTTATTTAGGCCAGAGAAAAGAATAAAATAGCGCTAGGTACTTTCAATTCCGAAAGAAAATGACCAAAGGTTAAGGTTCTGTAAGTAAAGGCTTTACTACAATTATATAGTACAAATTACAATTGACTAAATTGTCTCTCAGAAATTTTGTGCCATTTACCCTCCCAAAAATCTCCATCAATTTACATCCTTGCCCAAGTCGATCAAAGCACTGTATGTGCAAAAACTTTGCACCAAAAATTATCTACCTGACGCTTTAAGCCAAACTTTCACTTTAATATAGACACACATATTAATCCTGGGCATACAAAGTTCAAATAACTCATTTTTTAACTTCTACTACAAACTGATAAATTTTCTAAATTGCAACAATGTTCTGGAAAGACATTTGTTTAACATGTTTTCGATTCCTTGTTGTGGATTCCGGAGAACTGAACTCTTTAAAGGTGGCCTGGCATAAAATGTCTACTTTTTGTTTCTTGGATTGAATACGAATGAGTTTTGGTCCGACTTTTTGGTCTAGGCTTTAAATGGAAATGGAAAATTTAAAGTTAATTTAATGGAAAAATTGGCTAAGGAAGTGAAAACCTTGCATCATTAAAACAAGTTCCGGCCTAAAATCGCGATGACAGAAAATGTATGTTATTCACTTCGAATTCATTATAAGATTAAACTATTTTGTTAAGTTAGAATAATTTGAGATTACGCTAATTCATTTAGCCCTTAAAAGGTAGAAAAATCATGAAAGCTTTAACATGTTTACAATTTAGGCCGGAGAAACAGCTGCAAAACTTCCGCTGTTTTTTGTAAGACTTAACAGATGGAAACTCATAAACTATTTATGATATTGTTCCGAATACCCTATTTGCAATTATTTTCAAATCAAAAGGACAAGCTAGATAGGGATGGCTTAAGAACGGATTTATAGATCTTTAGATAAGAAGTAAAAGGAAATTTTTAAGTACCTTGTTTCGTTCCTAAGACGGCTGCAAGAGTCACAACGCTTACTAGCAAAATAGCAGCAAATCCACCAACATAATATCTTCTGCGTCCGCTAAGGAACTTTCGATTCGTGTTCTGTCCATCTTCATCTCCTGTTGAAGAATCGAGAGGGATGTACTTTGTATTTTTGCTTCCATCTTTACTGGCACGCAGCGGGGATAACAGCCCTTTTGCTGCCAATGCCAGAGCCATCCCCCTCTATTTCACAGTTTTAACACAAGTCGAAGTTCAAATAGATAAGGTCTTTCGCATACGAATACACGATCAAATTTCCATGATTTCATGAATTTTGCCTCAGCCGAATGATTTTCCGAATATTTTAAAAGTGAGTGACCAGCAAATCAAACCATCCCCATACATGAAATGAGCAACTATGCGTAACAGCAGAAATTGCAACTTCTTCCTGTGCTACCCAAACAAATTAGCCGACCGACATTAGTTCAGGTGGTTAAATTCAAAAGGGCTATTGAATGTTGATTGTTCAATTGTTGAAACGACTCACCGAGGCCCATTGATTTCTCCATGCCTCGCTGCACCAAGAGTTGGTCTTGTGGCTCCTGCAAGAAACCGAAATTGAGAATATTTGAAAAGATTTGTTGCAATTTTTCCGCCAGCCACTTCAAGCGCCAGCAGGCTATCCTCTCTCGTCTCAACGATGGACGTCAAGTTGAAATTCGATTCCTGCATCTGGGATTAATTACTTGTTGACTATTGACTGTGAAGTGGTGCCTCAAAGCGGGATATCCAAATACATTTGTAGAAATTTCACAAACATCTATAAAATAAAGTTAATTTGGAGCTAAATAAAGCAACAATGCAAGCCATCAAAATCAGATTTAATGATTTAATTTCAGTGCAAAAGAGCCTGTGCTTGTGTGGCTCTGTTTCAATCAGTTTTTGAAAGATACATTTGTTTTTATGCGTAGGAAGCTCTTGTGTTTTTCATATCTATGATTCAAATAAAAAAATCTGAAAGTTTTTTTTCTCCACTCGATTTAACCCGGATCCAGTGTGCTGGCCCGCCCCTGGAGAAACATCTCCCTGTTCAATCTATTGTTTCAATACTGCACCATGACAGCAAACTCATAAAAACGAAGATAACCTTGATTCCAAGTTTTTGATTTTAAATTTTTCGTTATTGGAAACTCACAAATAGGACCAAATAGATGACGGGTGTTTGCGGTGTAGAGTGAAGCTTTTCGTGGCAAGTAAGCAAACTTTTCGCACCTTAACAATGTTTTTGTTCTAAAGCATCACAAATGTGAGCACTTTGTGAAGACTTTAACGTCGGTTGCCATCCTGGAATCAGTGGTGGCGCCAGGGGAGGGCTAGGGGGGCTACATCCCCTCCGTCAGAAGCATCTTGCCCCCCCCCTCCATCGGAGGAAAATTTTAGGTTATTTTTGGAGCAAATTTGACAAAATAACGTACGAAAATTGCATATTTTAGTCATTTTAGCCCCCCTGTCGGAAGCTCCAACCCCTCTGTCGGAAGATTTCTGGCGCCACCTCTGCCTGGAGTTGGATGTATATGTAAAAAACAAGCTAAGCCCTCTTGCCTCTCGAATTAGCCCCTTTTGAATGAGCCTCTTTCTAAAGCTTCGGGCTTTCGAAAAGCCCCCTCCCCATATTATGCTATCAGATCTTGAAAAAGCAGCCTCTTTATCTCCTTTTTAGCATTTGAACGACTATATTTATCAATTTTATAGTCAGGGCTTTTGGTGTTTATCATGTCTTGTTGTTTATTAATTATTCTGTGTCAAATACGCCACTCTAAAGAAAACAAGTTTAACATGAGCCCTGACTATATCGAACAAGCCCATCTCTTTTGCATCAGGTTTTGAGCCTCCCCCTCCTTGGGCTTATTTGAATTATTACGGCATGAATCCTCTGTCTTTTTTCTTATATAAAAAGCCTGTTATTCTCTAATGTGAAGGTAGGAGCTCTAGAGAAATAAGCGAAAACGAAAATGATAAACGGTAATATATGAACGGTAATAAAATGAAGTCCTTCGTGCTGTATTTTGCTGGTTCGGTAAAAAAGTAAAAATATTTTCTTTTTAAGAAATGTATAATATACTTTTTAACGATAACTTGATTGCCTCAATAATCTCACTGGTATTACAAACTGCATAAATTTGTACTGTTTTCCATAGAAAATAAGGGATAGGAATACAATTTGCTAGGTCATATTAACATCATCAGCAATATTTAGAAAAACAAGGTTCAAAGGAATAAAGGAGTGACCCCTTTTTAAAGATGGTTGGACCAAAGCAATTCGCTAAATGCCTAGGATGTTCACATTATCAAAAAAGCAACATCAAGGCCGTTTCATGCCGAAATTTGCAATTACTCGCAGCAACTTGAGCCTAAACCTAAATATTATGTTTCTTATAAAAGACGTGTAGTGCAATGGAAAATGAAAAGATATTTTCTTATTCTAGCTGGCCATCAATAGCTTCTAGCTTCCTTGACTTTTTACAGTTAGTTATTGCAGTGTTCTTTAAAGGGAGCAAAATGCAACCTGCCTTATGCCTTTTTCATTTTTGCAAGGGCGACAATTTGACATTGGTGGAAATAGAGAGATTCCCAGGCACATAAAATCGTTTGCTGTAATACATTGATTATAAGACGGAATTCGCTCATGAGATTAGATATTCAAACCTCTTTCTAGCTTCTAGTATCGTTTTTGCCTTGTAGCAGAGATTGTGGTAGGGCTTTATTGAAGGTGAAACCAGAGTCTCGTCGACACTTTTGTACGAGCAAACACTGCAAATGGGGCTAAATTTAGATCAGGACAATTTTTAAGGACAATCAGGGCGATCAAACAAAATTTAAGAATAATGCTCAAAGTTGTTAAATTAAAACTGGGTTTAAAATTTTACAGCACTTAGGATACAACAGCAAAAAACTTTCCCAGTGAGATTTTGAAAATAAAATCATTACCTTCTACTTTCCACTCGGCAGAGTTCGGTGAAAGGAAATCTAGTCTCAGCACAAGACAAAAGAAGTCAAGAAACAGTGCTGGGCAGGACACAGCTTTTTATATACATTGTTACTGTTCAGGAAATAAATTCTGTTTTCAGCAAAAATAGCCTGATCTATTTTCCGTTTTGTTCAATTTTCGATTTTTTATAGAGAAATTTATAGTAAAGGATGTCCAGATGTCAGTGGTCTTGCAGTGAATGTATTTGATGCCAAGAGGAAAACAGAGCTCAACTGTGTAAGAAAGTGTTTTTCCTCCATGTTTCATGGCGCGGGCATACAAGCTTTTAAAGGAGGTACCCAGGAAGAAAAACAACGTTAAGCATGGAGTACTTTGTTGAAGCGATAGGGTATACAATGTCTCCATGCAAAGACAAATATTTGATACATGTACAAAGACACATATACTAAAAAATATTTAAAAAACACCGGGCACACTAATCTTAGGGGACAATTTGCACCGGATGTTACCTAAACCTATTTTTAGGTTCCAGCAATTTCTTTATATCCATTAATTACATTATTTTAAATTTGGACTGCTTAAGCCTTCTAAATATTTTGCAGACTTTAACTTTTCTGCACACATTTACTACAGATAGTTTTGTAAGGAAATTGCACTTCAACCGGTAGAAGGGCTTTTTCTATAGGACCAAGATTTTTGCCTTTTTCACAGGTGTAGAAACTCTGCCTGAAACAAATTTTACAGCTCTTCGTGCGCGACAGCGCCAGCTTCTAGAAAGTGGGAGAAGAATGGGCATGGTACAATAGACCATGTTTTTTCCTTCATCTTTGTACTTTATGTGATAGAAAAATAATGACATACCCCTACTCAGTACACTTTTATTTATTTATAGAAGGATCATACGGACTGTGCTTGGAGAAAAGTGGGGAAGGGGAATTACCGCCTTACTTCCCTTGGAGCAACCTCTGCCTTTATGTAGTATATGTAGTAAAGTTCTCAGCAGTGTAGTGGAGAGGTAACGCGGCATAATGCCGTTGTTATAACCCTATTTTTTTCAAAACTTGCCCGGTGACTCGTCCAACTGACAGTGCTTTCTATGGAGCGACATTGGAAGTGATGTTAGGCCTATCGATACAGAGAGTGGGCCTAAATAAGGCAACAGTGGAAAAGGAGGGTTTACATGTTGTATGCCAGAATGCTTCAGCAACAGTCGTGTGAATCGGGATTTATATTTTTACACTATTCCTAATGGTAAAAGTCAGGAAAACTTGCTAAGAAAACGCTGGTTCCATATGATCTCAAGAAAGGATTTCAACCCAACTGCAGCACATAGGGTCTGCTCTCGACATTTCACTGGCGGACATAAAACATACATGATAACTGTATTAGCCATTTTCCCGAAAAATCGAAACAAAATGGAGAACTTTTCGGTCAAGAAACAGAAGTCCTTTAACAATTTTTCCTGAAAAGATTTTGACAATGAATCCAATGGCATTTGGACTAAAAAATGGAAGATCTCCATTGCAATTAGAGACACAAACAAGGGAAAATTTGGAACTTTCATGTAAGTTTCGGCATCTTCTGATATTTTACGCATGTTCATACTGACCAGATCCAACAAATAATATAAACGGGCATCGACATGCTTACAGCATCCTCCTTGAGCAGCCTTGCGATTGCAATTTGCATGGGTTATTTCACCAGTTGCTTGATGTAGGTAGATGTAAACACATATCTCACATTTTTCATGGATGCATGAGCTCTTAGCTTCACGAGAAAAGAGTTTTGTCTGTTATAACTTTGGGTTTTACAGAAAAAAACCTCGGACGTAGCCTTCTTTCCATAACCTATAACCATGTTTTTTGCTATGGAATGCTTTTGGGGCACTTCCACGCTTTGGCATAGTATTCGGTTATCAAATGATAATCAAATGTTCATGAAGTCTCTGGCTGTCGAAGTTTGTAAGGTTCTCCAACGACTTCGACCAACCACCTTCATCATCTGACATCTTATCGCTATCGAGGCTCACTTCTTCAAATTCATAGACATCAATCAGCTTTTTCTCATCTTCTGGTGTCGCTCTATTGACAGTAGGATTAGTCGCTGACAAGAGTTTTGAAAAAAATTGGGATGTCCTTTTCCTTAAAATTTCTTTAAATGAGGAATACAGTGAACAAGGTAGATAGCAACGGCGCGCGTAACTACAACTACAAGAATGCATTGCGTGTGACAACACCTGTGACGTAATAATGGGATCGGCCCACTGATCTATAAAAAAGACTGGGTCGAGCTTCGCATTGTCTTGAAACACCTAAGTTTGAAGCCCGTTCATTTTCAAAAGGTAGAGGGCCCCAAACAATAGCGGAAAGCCATTCCTCAAAACCAATACTTCAACGATATGGATACGCGAGAGCTGCAATGCTGTGTGTATGATTGCTGAAAAAGAACAAGGCCAGAGCAGCTGAAAACATTGCTAGGGGTGACAGAGAAGGCCGTCACCTCGCATCGGCTGTTCTGGGACCCTCTTCTCGGATGGCGACACTCTTGTCACATTAGAAGCTCGATCCAGTCTTTTTATAGATCAGTGGATCGGTCTAAAAACTTTTATTGTTCCACCATTATCTTTGATGCCACAACCTGAATATCATACTTGAGCAAAAACGTGAAGTGACTAAAGCCCCAATTGTTGGATTAGGTTTCATATTTCTATTCTATATTTATTTTTTGTTCTGATCTTTTTTAGTTTTTGCGATGACATGATAAATCAACAAAGATTTAATTTTTATGTCATCTTCAGGCAAATTTACATTTTGTGTCACTTAAGAATAATCTTAGGCTCAAAATCGAAAAATAATAAGAATATTAAGACTCATCAAAAATGTACTAACATCATACTAGATGTACGAAATAAACGAAGCTATTTTTGACAATTTAGCAACTAAATTGATTAGACTTTCAATTCTTGCCTCGCCCAAGGTTTGAATGTGTGTGAAATGATTAAAGTCAAATGAAGATAACCTAATTGCATCTTGGAAATTTGCTAATGTTAGTTGGGCATGGATGGTTCGAAGGTCTATCTTCGTGATTGCACCGAGTACCGTAGGAAGGATATTGTTCATTGGTCAAATAATTGAGGGCGAGGTCATAGAAGAATTAAATGAAGATATTTACCTGGGCTAGCTAATTAAGTCAGAAAACGAAAAAAAAATTGAATAAAGAATAACTAATTGCAAAAGATTTGGGCAGTATGGTGATTTCACGAGGAGAAAAGAAATGTTTTAAATACGAAGAGATAATGGATGGAGCCATACTACCAGCAATAACAAATGACGTTCAGACATGAACACTAACATAAACTGGCAGTGGCACAGAGAAACATAGAAAGAGCAATTCGTAACATCACATGCCTAGACAAGAGGCCAAATGAAAGTTTAAGATCACATACCAAAACTGTTGACCTTATAGAAAAACCAGAAAAAATTAGGTAGCGGTGGCAGGCCATGTCGCCCACAGAAAAGTTAATAATTTCCCTTCAAAGCCAGCTTTAACACACACATATCCCATAGGGATCAAGCAGCTAATGTAATCAGCAATCAAAATAGTAGTGGATTTTCAAGGAGGCCTATTCTCCCATTTTGATCATATTTTGTAATTTCAAAATTTTCAGTAGACACACAGATTTGTATTGCTCTTAAATACTCTTTTTCTGTCAAACTTAACTCTTTCTAAGAGACATGGCAGTTGTGATGAATTGATAAAAGCTGGTGTAAAACTTTTGATCCAAGATTGATCCATTTTTCGAGCATTTTCTCTTTAAAATCCCTGTGAGAAGTTTCTTCTGAGTTTTCAGTCATCCTTTGAATTAAAACTCAAAATAATTTCTTTAGGAAAAACTAAAACAGTTGCTGACTTTCTATAGGACAGACTGTTGGTCAAAAGATCAAAGAAAACAGTGGAGGCCAAGTCAGTGCAGGATATTTTTAGACCACGCCCTGCTGGAATAATTTCAATGCCTTACTTCTAACAGATTTTTTCTTCCTAGGCAAATCTTAGAAAAAGATGACCTAGCCCCTACCCAGTATGAGGGGGTGATGACCCCATACCCGCTGCTACTGAATAAAAATATGAAAATGAATAACCCGACCCACTGCCATCTTGAAATTTTATTGGGAAAAGGAGCCTCAGTGGATGTCTTCAACGGATTTACAACATTTGGACTGAAAGTAAAACTTCTGAAAAACGTCAGCGTACGTTATTCCATTACCGGGAAGGCAAGGTCATAACCAAGAAGGCCAGTATATGACGAAATTTTACGCGAAACAATATCACTTGTTGTGCAATACACTTTCCGTTGCTACGTCGTACAGATGTCCAGGAAAAAGAAGCTAACCTTGAAAGATCAGGTTGTGGAATATGGGAGGGCAAAAATATTGCTAAAAACTCTCACCTGTGTTTGCTCGTGAAAATGCATGAATGGCTTCAACGTCGAAGTTCTTTACAGCAGAAGGTACTTACTGCAGTGAAATATCTAGTGCACAAATATTGAGTAAAAATAGGTTGAGTGGGTTTAGCTTTTTACTTACAGGTTCACTCGGTGCATGGAGAAATGAGCCCATTGCGTTCTCTTTCTCACGAAAGGTAGGTACTCCGTATGTTTCTTGTCCTGGAGAAGTTCAAGACTTGTGGTTCAGAGGATTATTCTGCAAACAGCAGATAAAGCTGGCGGAGTGCAGGGTGTTTATACAATAGAAGACATATGAAACCAAATGTAACAAACACGTTCAATGTCAACCTAACAACAGTCAGGGAACGAATATTTCTATTAGCTTAAGTATATTTCAGTGAAGCGCCAATCATGCAAAACCTAACATGGATTTAGTGTTTGTCTTGGTCCCTGCGAAATCGTTTAAAGGCGAATCTGTGGTCTAGAAATTAGATTCAAAATTAATGAAAAGCTCAATATAGTGTAGTCCTTTCAAGTCTGTTTTTGTTCAATTATAGTCAAAGAACTTCATTTAGTGACAGGTTTACATTAATGCGACTTTTGTCTTGATATGTTTGTGATTTATGAAACAACCCAACCAAAAAAATATTACAGTGTAGGGCAGGGCCGACACCAGCAGTGACATATAGGGGACGGACATCGTTTTACTTCCGACGACGTACATATTCAATGGTAGAATAATGCGCATGCTTATCTAATTGTCAGTTCCCATTTCCTACGTATTGGTCTAGTGGCCTTCTGTGCAACCCGTTTGCAATATTTTAGATGAAGATAGATTTCCTGGTTTAGTTGCTTTCTTACTGGTGCAAAAAACATTTTTTGTTAAAATTGAAAAGATTACAACTTAAAAAAGTTAAACAACTTTTCAACACAACATGGTAGCAAGGAAAAATATGCTGCATAGTACAATAATGCCAAAAGTAAGATATTTTCTTCTCTTTTTCATTGCTGCAAACTTGTCTATTAATTATCTCGTCAATATTATGCAGATTATGCGACGCGCCCTCCCGTGCCCCCAATTGGCACCAGCTCTGGTGTAGGGCCTGCGCCACTGATCCTAAACTGGAGGGGCCAGCACCGTAAAGAAAATTGCCGCATGCCCCCTCTAGCTTCAATGGTGGCAAACATTTTGCTAATGGTGTTTTACTTTCGGACTTGTATTTGCTGTAATCTACAGTTTGTCTAGATATATAATTTGAGTTGATATTAATATTTATTTTAGGAAAAATGTGAGGAGCCAATGGTCCCCTGCCTTCTGTGGCGCGGGACCTGCAGTGAACAGGGTATAAAATGATTTTTTCTCTCTCTCTCTCTCTCTCTCTCTCTCTCTCTCTCTCTCTCTCTCTCTCTCTCTCTCTCTCTCTCTCTCTCTCTCTCTCTCTTTCTCTCTCTCTCTCTCTCTCTTTCTCTCTCTCTCTCTCCTCTTGGTCAGATAGAGCAAATCACTGATGTGGTCTTCACGAGAGCACTCAAACCAGTTCTGTTTTCTGCTTGATGGTTTGATTCTGTAATGCTATCACCTGTCCATTGCTGAATATAGACATTTGCAATTTTGTAGAAATAGAGGCTTGGCTCATAACACTACTAGAAACCTTTGTATTTCGAGGCTAGACCAAAATGGCGGGCAACCAGGAAGCAGTTGGACTAACTCCATGAGCCTCTGTTTCGCTATTGCTTATCCTTACGGACGTTACAAAAATTGAGAGTCTATCATTGCAATTTGATAGCGTAATTTGCGACCCATGGAGAATCTCTAGATAGCAGTAGGTTACGTTCAAAAATAAGTTCTAAGCTTTAGTAGCTATTTTGAACATTAAGGACAATGGCATTGTAATCTTCTTCAAAACAAGAAGAAAGACTCCTTGTAATAACTAGCTAAGTATGCTTTATGAATTATGCTCGAATAATCCCAAAGTGTTTTTCGTAAATATAGATTTAAAACTTCATCCTGAGATAATATTTAAATCTTGAAAGAAGGGTGATTGCAACAAGAGATAACGTTACATGCAGAAATAAGCCGTACGCTAGTGTGCGTCGTTGTAATTCACTGTGAGATCAGTAATACTAAAAAGGAGGGAGAATTGTAGACCAGGCACTAGGGGGTACACCAATAAATTCAATGATCTCAATGACCACAGTAAATGAACTTCACGGTCACGATCATGCTCACATAACGAGGAGGGATCCAGTTGCACTGGCGCATACCATCCTTTTGTGTATGGCTTCAAAGAAAATTATCAAGGAGTTCAAAAAAATTAAAACAGTCATAGCCCTATAAGTCAGAAAATTTATTGTTTTTGCAATGACAAAACCAATTATCTGGTGCCTTCATTGTCTATATTTGAAATGATGAACTGTCTCAAAATGCATTCCTTTTGTATATATAATGATTGTCTCTGAAGTGTCGCAATCCTTGCTAAGCTCAAATCTATGCAGATAGGTAATGTTACTGATGATATCACTGAAATTAGAACTGAAATGCAAAAAGGCTACATTTTATGAAGGACTGTTGGCATTCATCAAGTTTTCATATATAAAAGAATGAAATAATTTACAGTTTGAAACAACAATAATCTTTATTACAAAACAAGCAATTTGTCACTGATGACTACATGCGATTTTCTTACGCCATTAGTAAGACTGGTTCTTTATCTTTCTTTAGACTTTTTTGTATTCGTTAAGCAACACTGGAAGCTTTGCTTCAATGTTTTCAACATTAATGTATATAAACAGAGCACATGCCAGCAGAGTAGCTTCCGTCTCTCTGCAGCGGCTTAAATTTTTCCTTGATCTGATGTATTCTGAGAGTAAAAGAACATATGTTCTTTCTCTTCCATATAAAATTCACAGGCGAGCCCAAAGCCAAGGTTGGTCGCTCTTTTGCATTTTACAATGACTAAATTCAAGCGATGCCCTGCAATTTAGCTATGACATACTTTGTATCATGATATTAGCCATAGCATTTCGTCGAGCTCTCCATAACCCAAGGTCTTTTGAATAGAACTGCAAATGTTTCAGCCACTTTTGACAGCAGAAGGGGTCATCAGTCTATATTGAAAATAATAGCAGGAAATCTCTTAGAAAGCAGTGCGATAGTAACCGCTAGTAGGAATAGGTCATAATAAGAAAACTGAGATTAATTGGGCAACTTGTGAAACTGGTAAAAGAGCGTTCATTTTGAAATTATCGCTTCATACTGACGATCTGAAAAGACATCTGTACGGAAACGTCAACAAAAGCTCGCCGCGTTCCTTATCATCTCGATTTTTGCACAAAATAAACACGTTTTGGCAGCTATAACAGACTTTTCATAAACTCCGTTAGACTGACCAATACAGCATTGAGTGACGAATGTATAAATTGTATTTTTTCCAGACAAATCACCATTAAGAGTCATTTGGTATGAATAGGTTTAAAAATCTTCTACATAAACAAAACCTACACTCTTATAGTCTCATTCTTTCCCTGCCACACATAACAACTTATCAATGTTAAAAATGACTGGCATTTTTTACTTACCACAAATGTTATAGGTTCTTTTGATATAGGTAAAATTTCGAATGCAATCTTAACATCTAGAAAGTAATACAGTGTATTGTTTATAAAGAAAGGGAAGAGAAAGAGGAAAGGAAAGAGTAAAAAGGAAATACTATTGAAATCAAGTCATACTAAGTTTCTCAAATGCTATACAATATCTTTTGACGTGTCACGTTGAGTCAAATTTCGTTCTACGACTTGCATTTTCCGAGCCTTCACATCATTTTAATACATTGAGTGACGAATGTGACATCAATAATTGCATCATTGGATAGAAACATGCTGAATATCAGGGATGCCTGTTGTAAGGATCCAGGGTGGGCAAAAAGCTTAAACTTTCTGAAACGCACTTTAAATATCTAAAATGAGCAAAAATTGGATGCGATCAATTCAGAGATTTTCATATTTCCAAGATATGGTGAGCACTTGAGCACAACGCCTCCCTTAACACTGTGCTCTTAACACTGGGCCTAGAAAATTGAGGCTAGCAAGCACACAATCTAGGGCAAATCGTTGATTTACAAAGGTATTATCACATGGAAGTGTTCCAAATTTTTTTCAGATGCGTGAAATTTACAATAACAAAAAAAGCGACAAAATTTTGGACTGGAGTCAAAACTAGGAAGGAGCTCGAAGTGTATATAAACCTGCTCTCTGTGAAACAACAGCTTTCCCCAGCAAGATCGGATTCTGAAATGTCAAAGAACATGTGATGTTAAAAATAGTCATGTCTTTATTCATTTCATCTGGCATTCACAATAAAAACGTGGTAGGATTGACATCTGTTGCAAAGATATTGATCAAATATTTACCAAAAAACATTAGCCAAAAATCTGTTTTCTAAATTTGTAGATTTTATTTCGGCTTGCTATTGTCACATATGCGCTTAACTTAGACCGATTTAAACTTTTCTGTATAAGCTGTTGAACAAGATCATGCCACATCGGTTAATGCAATACGCTGTTTGTTGAGTTTTAAAATATCGCAAAATCAGAGCTTCACGAGATGTCTAAGGATAGTTGATAGGATTAAAAACATATTCTCACTGTTGCTCGTTGCTGTTGGTGCATGATCGATAAGGCTAAACATTAATTAAAGGTTTGAGGGATTTCTTGAGAAATCGCGGTCATGTAGTCCCGTTTTTCTGATTGGACTATTTCGATCCACAACTGGGTATATATTATCTTACTTGATCTTTTCGACTCTATTCAGACATTTAAACTCTAAATAGTGTGAAAAAGAGGGCTTAAGTCATGTTCTAAAATTTTTGCTTTTTTCAAAACCTGTTTTGAATTTTTTTACCGCCAAAGAGTTGTTCAAGATCAATCTTTTCTTAATGTTGTAAACCGGTGGCCTAACGGTATGTTAAAAGTCACCATTAGTTATTATTTTGGAGTATCTTTTATGTAAATAAAGCAAATCGTTGCAGCTTATTGCAAAGTTGGATTTTAATTGATGCAGTAATTACCTTATGCAATGAATATCGATTGGTTGACTTTCGTCGCAAGACGATAACAGCAGCACTCGTCGCTTCACATTTACTGCGCGGATCCAAATTGATCGGGTCTTCACTCTTTCCTGCCAGTGCTTGCGAATGCTGAGGGAATAAAACAGCTTAGAAATACCCGCAACGATGATTAAGCTGTACTTTACATTTGAGAACTTAACCCTTTTTACACAAGAAGACCCTTTGCAAGAGCACCGAGACTTTACAATTGCAAAAATGCATTCATTCATCAATTCATTCATTAATTCATTAATTCATTAATTAATTCATTATAATTAATTAATTCATCATAATTAATTAATTAATCATAATTAATTAATTAAATAATTCATTCATTCATTCATTCATTCATTCATTCATTCATTCATTCATTCATTCATTCATTCATTCATTCATTCATTCATTCATTCATTCATTCATTCATTCATTCATTCATTCATTCATTTCATATTATTTATTCACGACCTCCATTTAGTTAGAAAAATAAAGAATTAAGACAACGACAACATAATGTGTTTCCTAAAAGTTTTCTCTCAAGTCAAGAAATAACAAGATATCATATCAGGTAATCAACCGTATACAACAAACACCATGCAAAACTGTTATTTACTGGTCTTAGAAAAAAATTATAGTTTGGAAACGTATAGAAATAAATGTTGAAATGAGAAAATTATATAGAATAACCGCGCCTCTAATTATCCAAAATACAAGAACATCGAAAATAAAAGAAAATTATCTGGTTCTTATAAAAAAGAGTGTTTTGAAATAAAATCAGCATTTTCAATTTCAAGTTTAGAAATTGTCTCCCTCGCTTTCCTCCATCTAATATCTCAAATGTTGGTATCCAGAAAAAAAAGAAATTCTAGTTGTGCAAAAAACAATGATGTGTCGAGAATGACCTAATAGCCACGGACACGCATGTTCTGGCTTAATAATTTCTATAACTATGGATCTTTTTAATAGGTTTCCTGAGATCACTTTATTTGCTTGCAACAGTGAATCGCTGTACACTAATCAAAAGCGAACCTCAAGGACGCCATAAGCGCACAGAATGACTTGAACTTTGCTGGATTTTTTCATGGATTTTTTGTTCCAGTTTTCGACATTAATCAGCTCAGTTGACGACGCCTGGAAAAGATTGAATTCATCTTATTGTTTATCTCTGGGTTTGACACAGTGGGAAACCAAACTAATTACGCTGTCGATAATATATGGTCAAACTAAAACAGACTTATTGAGAATCTTTCATAGATAAAAAGGGAATTATTTAAATTGTAGCTGCAACTCATTCATAAGGTGAATATATGCCAAAAACATATGTAGGCTAGTATTGTGTGATGAATAAAGCACATAATATTAAACAACAGTAATTCACTATCTATTCTTGCGCAAGACTTTGGCTTAGAAAAAAGAATAAAATAAAAGAGTGTTCATTGAAAGTAACCTTTTTGAAATTCAGTGAGCAAATATAAGATATTTATACAATATAACTACTTAAAGATGAAAACAAATTTGGGTATTATCGGTGTTGTTGCCTAAAGGTAGAGTATGGTTAATCAAATAACCTTATTGTGACCCATCATTTCTTACCAAGACTTGAAGCAGAGTTCATTCGATTTAGATAACATACTTTAAACAGAAAGATTAAAGAGGGAAGAAATTTTGGACTCTTACAGGAATACCATGCGAGAAGGTTTTTATATAAATTGTTTTGGGATAAGCAAGTTGAGTACTAGTAGATACAGTACTGTTTGACAAACTCTTTTTGTATTTGTATTACTAGTTTGTATACTATCTCGCAGTCTTATTCGATATAATCTCCTTTTATTCATCTTTTATTGAAGCTCTTCATAAAAACAAGAGACAAAACTATCAAAGGAATGAAAGTGAATCAAAACAATCCAATTGATCAAGGTTGCATTAAAAAACTTTGGCAGGACAATTCCCTCCGTTAACCTACAATCCACCATTTATGACATTAGCTAATTCAAAATTAAGAAAGTAAAAAGCTGTGAATTTTTCCACAGCAACTGCGCCCTAGAAGGATTATTAACTGTCTGCTGAACATCAGAGTCGATAGAAGCTGTGATTTAAATGAAGCAAACGGTAGAAGTAGTTTGCCGAGAAGATGTTGTCTGTAATTTCTGAGCTTCTTGTTGTAATACGTCTATTTGGTTTAAATTCTCTATCTAAAGCAGCTAGAAAAATCAGCTGAAACAGTAAGCCTGTCTAATTAACGCTTCCTTACTTTCCATACTATTCTTTCACTTTTGGATTAGATCTGTATTCTTTGTGAGACTGGAAATTAGTTGCAAGATGATCGCGCATCAAGCTAAACCTCGGAGAACCAACTAAGAACCGTGCTGTTCTATACACCAAAAATGTAAACAGCTCTGCCCATATGGCATCGAACACTTTATGACAGCCCTTCAAAAGTAACTTTCATCAACACCGTAATGATACAGTTCATTCTTCTTTTACTCGAAAAATTAGGATGCATTCTTAGATTTCCTTCTTTAGCTCTATTAAATATACTAAGGATGAATTGATCCCTACCTCCATAGGATCTGATAATACAATCTGCGTTTCCTCAAGCCTCCAGTCAAGGATGTCAGCAACTAGCTTTGTTAGCTGATTTCCTTTCGATTCTGATTGATTCAATGCACTTGTGCTTTTACTCTTTCGCAGCTTTGGAGGACGTCCAGCAGCAATCTAAGAAGACGCCGCATGGTAGATTACGTAGCATGGTAGATTACATAAAATAACGCAACGTAAAACGAAATGTAATATAACGTTAAGTGACGTCAGCAACATGATGCGACGTGACGTGAGTTGACATGACATGACGTGAAGTGACGTGATGTGGTATGATATGACGTGATATGATATGATATGATATGATATGATATGATATGATATGATATGATATGATATGATATGATATGATATGATATGATATGATATGATATGATATGATATGATATGATATGATATGATATGATCTGATATGATATGATATGATATGATATGATATGATATGATATGATATGATATGATATGATATGATATGATATGATATGATATGATATGATATGATATGATATGATATGATATGAAGCTTTACCTCGTTAATTCTTGTAATTTGCCCCTCGATTTTTCTTCGTGCGTGAATCAGTGCTTCTCTATCAGCATTTCCACGTGGAGTTGCGCGATAAATTCGCGTCAACAACAAAGGGTACCTATAGAACAACAAAAGTTGGTAGATTTGTAGATCGTAGGGTGAAGCAGAAAGCTAGCATGCTAGTACTTTTGATCCGGAATAGCTTCCTGGCAAATATTTAACGTTAATGTGTTACAGTTGGGTATAATAAGGTAGGCATACTTTTGATAACTTTAAGGCTAAAAGTCACTCTACAAATCGTGATGTATTATTCTTTGAAAAAGATCGATCCACGACTACTTGATATTATAATAGGATAAATATTAAAATTTGATAACCCTGTAGCCATCACACCCCCTCCTCTACCCTACCATGCATTTGATCTTAATTTTCAGATGTAAGGTTGTCAAAGTTTTTGTTTGCCAATAAAATAAGACTTTTTCCAATTTAACTAAATTTGCCAGTAAGATGTATTAATACTAGTATAAATACGTTTAAGACAGGCAATAAAATGCACAAAGTGTCACATTCTGGACAAACGATGCTAAAAATGAATAGGGGAATGTTGACAAAGACACTACTCACTTCATAATCCTTTGAACGGGCATGGTTAAAAATGATTTTAAGTCCATTTTTCGAAGTTTTGAGTTTTGCTTGCAGGATACCTGGACAAATGATGAAATGGGTGATGTCAATCACAGGGAAAGCTAGTATCAGCTTATTTCGTTTTGATCAAATTCATTCAATATATTTTTGTAAACACAAGTCTTCAACTTAGAAGCAAAACAAAACAATCCAGATATAATTTCATCTTAATTGAAGTCAAATTAGTGACAGATGTAATGAGAGCAAAAAACTGAATATCTAACTGTAAATCACTTAGAGGCAATGCTCAGTAGAAATTTCAGGATGTTTTATCAACCTGTCGAGCGTTGCGCAATCAAGCCGGAATACATAAATATATGGACTGAAAGAAGGATGTTCTCATTCGAGATTATAGAAAGGGTTTCTATTAGCATCCACCTTAAGTCCTAGTCCTACTGTCAAAAAAGTGACTATAATATTATTTCGCATTAAGTTTCGCTGAATTCATCCAAGCATCTTGAGTTAACATCTGAGTGACAATTCCTTTATACTATCGTTATAAGAAGTCAGAGGATGTAGAACATTGATTTGAACAAACCAAAAAGGCACTATAAAAATACCCGAGTATTGCTGGGTGAATTTTAAATAAGCATTAATATAAATCTGCTTTTTGTGTGATAAGGACAAGGAATCAAAGAATTCTCTTATCCGGATCATAGAATTCGCAAAAAAGAATCACAGAATTGGAATCTTCATGTTAAAATTAGTCTGTGCCGAAAATTGCAAGTTGTTTGGGCAGTCAGGCCATGAATTAAACCATTTTCAAAAATTTAGCTTTTCCTATACATTTCAATGGAATTTATTGCTGTAGTGAAATTTTTCACTGCAGCAGCAAATTACGGTCAAATCTAAAGAAATATCTAAATATTCAAAACAAAGTAACTCGCGACCGAACGGTCCAAACAACATGATTTTTCAGTATAACTTATTAAAAGATGAAGGTTTCAGTTCTTAATCAATTTTTGAGAAAGATCCGTAGATAGCGAAAGATAAAATTGATGACATCCACCCGGAACGGAGAATACTAACGTGGTGTGACTTTTGATAGCCAGACACATTTTGAGTTACAAACCTTTGTGAAAATGTGTAAAATGGTACGATGCAATTGTTATATAAATATCAGTTTATAAACTATTAATCAGTATAAAAAATCAACCTGTAAGAAAATCCGCAGTAATTCCGATTTTTTCTGCAGATTTTCAACTAGGTCAGCAGCTTGGCCCTGCAACAAAGTACACAATCGGATTAAATATGATGTTTGATTCAAGGATTAAGCGCAATTAGAGACACTGTTTTAATATTTCAGACTAGTTGATGGTCACAAGCCAACTATAAAATTTCAACCATCGTTTTCCAAAAAAATCATCTAACAGCTAAATGAAGCAGTGTAAAAATCCTGCTTCAAAAGTTTTATATTCATATGCACAATCGCGAGATTAAAAAGTTTTGCTGCTGAGAGAAAATGTTGGTATTTTTCTGGCCCCTATTACATGCTGCGTTCAACATAAAACAATTTTGCATGATGAATTCTTGTATCTAGCATACGATGTATTATCAAAATGGACCATATACAGAAGATCACCTGCTTAGAACAGAATACTTCATATGCCTGAAAGAATTCCACATTTTCAAGGAAAACACGACCAACTTCCAGAGACTCAAGTTCCTAAAATCGAAGGGCAATGAATGGTCATTTTGAAAAGAAGTCTGTCAATTTATGAAAGTTCAGTCTCAACAACAACAGAACGCAAACGGGGATTTTAAATAGACTTTATAAATTAGCATCAAAGACTTGTCTTTTCCCCAGAAAAGCTACTTGAATCATACAGGGACAGCTCTACTCACGGATCTTATTACTTTAGACCTAGATAAGCTTGGTTATGATTTATTAATACTTGCTAAGAGCTTGATGTGATGACCCAGAAAAATGTCACAAAGCCAAATACAAAGGCTCTGTCAGCTGACTGGAAATCGATTTATCGTTTAATAACTGTCCTGCAGAACAGAAAAGGCTTTGGATGCATAATTCATTAAGATCACCGTGATCAGCAATTTCACTGAACAAAACTAAACGGATTTTTCTCGTAGAAGCTTTAAGTATTCTTGCAACAGAGGGCAATTAACAGATAGCAGCGAAAATCACCTGGTCATTTCTTGTGATACATTCTTCTAAATCGCCCTGTAAAGTTATACACAGCTTCGAATTCACATCGATAAGCTCCTGGAGTAAAAATTAGAGGCAGAGGTTTCGTGAATAGAAACAAAAATATTTCAACAGGCATGCTCTCGCAAGCAATCGCAATTAGTCGTTTCCTTAAAAGGACTGGCGTTAATCTCAGAGCAAAGATCATGATCAACAAGACCAACAAAGTATCTTCTCCCCTAGGCCATTAAACACTTGATGCTAAAAACTACAGAAGGAAATCTAGAGTAGAAATACAGAAGAGAAAAGGAAATATACAATCTTTGAGCAAGAAATTATCCAAACATTGTTAGAAGATTGTGCGAGAGAATTTTTCTCAACTTTAGTTACCTATGACGTTACAATAACTGTACACGATCACCGGTCAATTTTTACATTGCACTTAGATCTTTGTTTGGAGAGAAATGAAGTCATCGTGTCACTGGCCTATTCACTGAAACTGTTTGGCACTAAGAAATTTTCTAACGATTGCTGCTTCATATCTTTACATTTAAGCTGGAAACTGTCACACTTTAATCAAGCTTTTTGTAGATCAATGTAGCTAATTGGTCCACAAATTTTACAAACCTGTAGATTTAAGAACACTCCGTTGACATTCTCTGGACTAAGTATTCCGCCATTTTTAATTGGTGCATAGAATTCCTTGAAATAAAATGGTAAAAAGTTAACAAGTTTCCTCAATATTGATCTACGGTCAGCAAAATTGCTACGGAAAAATTTTCAGCTATATCTTTTGTAAAAGAAGACTCTGAAAGGTTCCATTGAAAAAATTAGGACAGTGAGAGCAGTAAATAAATATAAATACTGCAAAAATGAGAATATTCCGTGGGATCCTATATGTAAATTCCTGACTAACAAATTCAACTTTGATTAAAGAGTAATTAAGGAAGAGACTTCGTATCTGGATGCAAATTTTCTAAGTAAACGTTACCTCTTTCAGAATTCTAAGGTCTTGTCCATAGTTAATCTCAGTCTGAATGAGCTCAACAATTGCTTCTTTTCGCTCCACTTTCTTCTTATCACATTTCTTGCAGATTGCAAGTGACAAGTCATTACTGAAAGTAAGATACGGATATCTATATAGCAACGCAGAATATTCCAGATGGCGTTGTCTATTCTGACTTAACAGTGTTCCATGTGCATTAGCACAGAGCAATTGATATAGTGCATTTGAGATAGTCTGTCTGATGAGTGTGCAAGCACGGAATTCAGAGTGACAGAGAACATGTCTAATTTTAGCCTATTTTCTACTATAACAATGCAGAATATATCTATATTACTAATAAAGTTATGTGACATTCATATCATATTACAAACAAAGATATTGTAGCATCTGACGTCGTAATTGCAAGGTAAACAAAATCGGCATTGTTCAGGCTGGGACAGGAATCATTTTGATCACATCCTTCAAAAGGATTGTCCCAAATAGGCTCAATAGAAATTACGTTTGTTTATCAATCGAAGAGCATCAATGCTTGTAATTTTATTTTTGGCCCATTTGATACTTGATAATACATTTCTTTAATTGACTGTATATAGAAAATACTAAATTTGAAAACCAACTTTATTCCTTAACAAATACTAACACAACCCTAATTTGTAATATCTATAATTTTCAAAACATTTTGCATTGTTTCTGAGTTACTATTGATCATGACAAAGGCACTAATTATATGAATGCAAATATAGGAAATTTAATAAAGCAACTGTTAAGAAGAAAAACTATGGAAGACCTAAAATTTAGAATTATAAAAATAGCATTTTAAACTCAATTTTTTAAAATCGAACACAACTAGCTGTAAAATCACCTGGTGTTTTCACTTTCTTCTTTAAAACCATTTTGACAATGATGACACTGAATAAAAAACGTTTTTAAGGCTTAATTACAATCGAAGTCGTGCCAGAAAGCAATGAACAGTGCTCTAATCATGAACACTGCTTTCGATCTATCATCTGAAAAGTTTCGCAAAGAAATTTTCGGTAATATTAATTGCTGCAGTAGGGGGAGCTTTAGTCTAATTCTAATAAATAGCAGAAACTAAAGCAAAAAGTTATCAAAGACAGTGAGGTTTGACATTTGATTACTGATTAAGAATGACTTCAGTGAAGCAATCGTCATTATTTCTGTGACAGAAGCCCTCTTATTGATTAATCATTGAGGGAATAAAACAATCATATTTGGATTCCCTTTTGTAATCAACTTAGACAAAAATGCCATTTTACACTCATTTAGTAGCCATTTTATGATCTCTCATTTGAATTTCTCTTAGCAATCATTTAGCAAGACGAAAGTTTTTTCTGGAAAATGGAAATTTACCAAGCTTTCTAGCTCTTTGCTGCATTCCGAGGGATCTGCTTCTTCAAAGACATCATCAGATTGACTGGTGCCGATGTCATTTATATCCTTCATTACCCCACTGTCTGACTTGGCAACTGCATGAGATTTTGGTCTTGTAGGACCTATCACAAAAATAAAGAAATGTATACATAGCAACGTCCTTAAAAAGCAACATGGAAGTGATATAGAAAGTTTTCGATTATAGCACATTCTAAAGAAAAATGGAAACAGAAAATCATTTCATTTTCTAAAGGAAAGGGAATTTGTTTTGGGAATTTACTCTAGGAAATTTATTGGAAATTTTGGGAAAAAGGAGTTTATTCAAGCCAAATTGCCCGGAAGTATAACTTTTGTAATGTACAGGGCCAAAGAAAATTTTTAAAAAATAAAGTAGATAGTGATTCAGAACGCTACAGCTTGGCTGGGGTCATTCAAGATATCTGGAATGCTTTACGCAGCACAGTAGCACAAAAGTGGTCTGCGTGCAGCATCCTTCTATTAATGTCACGGCGTTGATTTTACCCATGAAAAATTTTTATCAGGGAATGTCACTGTTATAATAGAACCTGTCGAACGCTTTTGAGCAATTTTGATGCTTTAAAACGGATTTTCATAGAGCATTCGGTCACAACAATCTTTTCTGGGGGGTTTTTGGAAGGGTAAAACAGCAGATATTGTTGTACTGGTGGGCACAGCTGTTCTACCTACTTCTTGCTGATCATATTTGTAAAATAGTCGAGATTCCCTCTTAACCGAACATTTTTACTCTCCAATCGAGGCTCCTCTCTCCATTACATACTACAGAAACCTATTCAGTATTCATCAGTAAAGATTCATCAAATGGAGAAGAAATTAGGGTCCACGCTCGTAACTAGAGTCTTTTTGTATATCTGAGAAAACAAGAACCGAGGCTTCAGACAAGTTATCATTTAACTGGGACGAAATGTGAAATACTTTGCAAAGAGCAAATATCTCTCCTTTTTTCTCAGAAAAGAGATAGCATCCTCTTACAGTTGTATTGCTATCACCTCTATAAGGACCGAACTCCTTATTTCCTCATTTCAGAACAAAGGGCCTCATCATTAGCAAAAGAGTACTCTAAAGGAACGTGTACTTAAGCAGTTGTCACCGGGTGAATGAATGAAAGCTGACCTCGCTAAATTTCAATTTCATAAAAAGTGCGGTAATAGAAGTTGCCAAACGACATCGTTGAATCTTGTACTTTCTTTATTATGTATGTTTTGCTGTGTAATTGTCCTAATAGACGTATTCACGAGGTTTATAGAAGCAAGGGTCATCTATTGTTATTACATTTTTACTACTGTCAATAAAATTGCATGGAATAACGATTGGTCTTAGCTAATATCACAGCTTAATGAAGGAGATTCAATGAAATACAGTTTTAGGTTATAACAGTTGCAAAGCTACCAATGCATTTGAGCTCGCGTTAAAAGTGTAAATATTTTGATGCAAAATCTACTATTTTTTTCAAATTCAGATAATCATGACAAATAATATTATTCGTTATGTATTATTAAATGATGAAGATAGATGGTCATTAAAATTATTCGAGGATAAGTATTTCATATACTTTGTTGAGTGTTTGAGAGGATCTCGCCGAGAAGATCCGGAAAAAGAAGATCGGCTTTATTATATGTGAGGTTAAAATGCGCTTTCCATATGTTACGACAATTAACAAACAGAGAAGATACACTTTTGGTGAGAATATAGTTGAATGACCAGCTGGTCAGCGTAACAGAAGGTAGGCTGGAAAAGCTCAAGGAACAATGGACAGAGCTTTTAAATGTACATAAAAATTCCCATGGCGAGTCACTTCAAGGAAAGCTTCTGTTCCTTTGGTGTAAATGGTATTGTTGCATAAGGAAACCCTTAGATATTATTTGGTTTTGGCAGAAATCTCGTAAGTTATTTTGAGAAGGGAAGACTTCATATGAGTCAACACAAAAAATGAAAGCTTCTCAAGGCTTTTTGAATCAATGCAAAGTAAAAACTCCTTGGCAAACTAAGAATAAGTCTACTAAGGTTTGTTTTAAAAGGGACTAACCTTGCAGACCAGGAGTTTCTTCCCTGCTTGTTTCAAATATATCCGACAATCCGCTATCGATGCTTCTTCCACTAATAAAACTCTGTTTATCTGGGTCTCTGTTTGTATCATCTTCACTTGACGTGGATGTCAATGTTGGGCTCTTTGCATACTTTGCTCTTAAGGTAAAAATAATTTGCTTCTTTCAAAAAGAGTTAAGTGTGAATATTTAGAGTTAATGAGTTCATCAATCGAAATCTTGAGGCAAAAATTTAGTTCTCACAAGTATGGAGAGTAGCTTTAAGAGTAATTATTTGGATGGTATTATGTAGTCTATCACTCTGTGTGAAGAATTAAGTGTGAATATAGTCTATCACTGTGATGGCCTAGATTGGCCTAGATTGGCCTAGATTGGCCAAGATTGGCCTAGATTGGCCTAGATTAACTAAATCTATGAATATCGAAAAAGTTGTAGCACTGATATATAATTTGTTTGCTGATGTTTCTCTCAAATAATTGTTTTGACTTTATAAGCCGAGAAAGTATGAAAAAAGAAACGCCATTAAAGTTACCCTGATTTTGGTCTTCGATAAAAAGGAGTGAATTGAAGTTTAATTTTTCGCACAGATTTGCTTTGCTTAAAATGTTCAATTTTAAGATAAAAATGAGAGAAATTTTAAGTCATGAGCTGAAATATCTGTCAATCAGTTCATTAGAAACAATGAAAATAGTTGATAGAAATGTAAATAAGCAAAATCAACGACAACTGCCAGCATCCCTATTGGGGACCTATAACATTCTTGCTCAAAAAATAGCAAAGCATATGAGTCTGTTTATTGAAAAATATATTGAAAAGCATGAAAGTGTACAACCGACGACTAGGGTTTTAATTATATGAACAACAGTAACATCATCAACAACAAAAACAATGACAATAGCAACAAAATTTAATGACGTAGAGGAAAAATTATGAAAATGGTGCTTAAAACAATAAATCGATCTTCTGGTGCAGCGGTTTTGTTTCAGTTTTAAGATTTCCACCACAATTCTTATGTAGAGGGGGCAAAACTGAGTTTGTGGATATAAAGGAAGAAACATACCTGAACAGATCCACACTTTCTGAACTTCTCCCACTTGCAGCACTCACCGACCGTCTGCAGCGATTCCCCCGCCGACGATTGATTACTTCTTCGTCGATCCACAAATCACTTGCGCTCCCAATTGAGCACTCCCTGGAGACATTTCTTTCGGGGCTGCTGTTATTACTTTGATTGTCCTCCTCGTTTATCGATACAGGCGAGCTCGATCTTGGCGTTGAATTTTCTACGGTTATTTTTGGCTTTAGAATATTTCGAACAGAGTTGACACGATCTAATTCGCCATTTGGATCAAGACTAAACCGGCGCTCAACAACCGGACTGTTTCTACATGACCTATTTGTTTCGCTTATGACTTTGAGTCTATCGACAAGATCGTTAACACCTATAGCATCGTTTTGGATCTTTCCAATATTCGAATCTAAACTACCTTTTCTTTCCTCTAGTTTAACAGGCTCCCGGTTTCCTACTTGTCTTTGGTCCTCAGCACTCTTCAACCGTCTGTGTCCACCCCTGTGTGTTTTCGGATTTGGAAGAAGTTCAATCTTGACGTCCTTTTCCTTAGATGAACTTGTCTCCGATAGTCTCGATCGACGAGTGGAAAGAGTTCCAGTACTTTTGCTTTTTCTGGATATGGATGACTTGCCTGGGATTTCATGATTTTTCCCATTATCATAGAAACTAACAGATCGGGTACTTTTCTTCTGCTTCCGTTTTTCATCTTTACCTTCGTCGTTTAAAGTCTCTTCCTCGCAAATTTCTTTCACCTCTGTTGCAGCTTTACTAGCTTCATCGTGACTTTTCGTTATATGCTCTTTCTCCCTAACTGCGAAATTTTCTTTGGAATGTTCTACCGATCGTAACTCATGACTCTGGGGAACTTGTTTCGACTCTTGGTCAATTTTCTTTGCTTTCTTGACATCTGCCATTTTCCTTAGCTTTCTTCGTCTAATTTTATCATCGTGATTATCTTCCCGGAGCTTGCCTGTCTCATTAACGATGTCATTTCTTACTTTGGTGTCCCTGAGCTCTTCATCATCATCGGGTTTCCCATCATTTTTCGCATAACCGCAGGCAGCCTTACGGTTGGTAGAAACAGCTGTCTTATCAACGTCATGTTTCATCATTACAGAATCACTTGAGACTTTTTCAACATGCTTGCTTTCTACTTCAAAGGAATTCTTAGAAACAAGTTCATTCTTGCAATCATTATTTTCAAGAAAAACTTCGTCTTCAACGGCATCAGTAGCAATAATTTCCTCTTCCACGTTCTCCATACAAAGTCTGCTATCTTTGCGTTTCTCATTAACTGTCTCGACCTTTCCTGAAACTAATTTCTCATGTGATTTTCGTGATCGGCCCCTTCTTGTTCGCTTGTGATTAGACCGGGCTGTATCAACACCTTCTGATTCTGTTATACTTGAGTTATTGAAAGGAGTTTTATCGACAATCACATCTTGACGATCATGCCATGATTTTTGAACTTCGACGGGACTTTCTATCGACGAATCGGAGCCTCGTGGTTTCATTGTGACAGTATTTTCTTCTTCACCCCAGACAGATCTTGGCAATCCATTATTATATAAGCTTTGCAAAGACATGTTCCGCGCCTCTTCATCAATCGATAAGTAACGATCATCAAAACTCTTCGAATTTTGCATATCATTTAAGCTGCCGCTCTTCCTGACTGCCGTTTCAATACCGTTACTTTTTGATGACGTCAGTGGTTGTTTAATGGGTAAAGAGAAGTCTCGTTTTCGCTGTAAGTACGCCCCTTCCCTTATTCTTTGCAAAGCACCGTGATCAGATATTTTTTGCATCAGCGACGAGCTTCTTTTTGCAACATCAACAACTACAGGCCTGGGTCTATTTGTGTTAATTAATGAGGGCCCGACTGGCCATGTACTTTTCAATATGTCATCATCTCTTTCATAGTTATATTCTATAGGTAACGACTGAGTTAGAAAGTCCCTTACGAAGCGCTCATCCTCACCTTCACAACAAGGTGCTTGGGAATACAGCCCACTGTCTTCAGATTCCCCTTGCCTACGGAGGAGTGAGTTTGTCGTTAGATTTGTACTAGGTGCAGAGTAGTTATCATTTTTGAAATGGGTATCCATGTTCATCAATGAACGACTCAATCGCTTATGAAGAGGCTCAGTTGTACAGTCCTTTCCACTGGGAGGTTTCACCGTGTCATTGTCCATCACGAGGCTATTTTTTGAAAGATAAGCTTTTGTAGAACCCTCTGAATATCGGCGAAGACTGGGGTCCTCAGAAGTATTTACCCTCCAGTCACCAAATGTAGACTTGAGAAGTTCATTCGCCCGCTCTACAGGGGATGCAACATTTAAGCTGGCTGCAAGTGGTACTGAATAGTCTAGTCTGTCAGAGTCTGTAAAACTACCGTGATATGATCTTGATCGTGTAAAGGAAGGAAAATTTGGCGTTCCTTTTGAATGTGACGTGACTGGCATATCACTTGGACTTGAAGTGGCAAAGGACGTAGCTAAATCATTCCTTCCTTGGAATGATTTGTCAAATTGAAAATTTGAGGCATGTTGTTTATCAAAGTTGTAAGACTGTTCGTCTCGTTTTCTTACTTGTTCATGAAAAGCAAGTCCATAACTCGCAGGATTCGGTGGGTTTCTCAGTTTTCCAGCACTGTAATTATCCGGGAAACTATTGTACAATGAATTGAATGTAGGTATTGCTTGCTGCTGTTGGTAGGTCGGACTATAAACATTTTGGTAGTACCTGTTAGGTTTCAACGAATCACTCAAAGGACTTCCAGACATGGCCGCAGAGTACTCTGCCTCACAATCCGATGCCTGTTTTTCCTTTGATTGGTGCCTTTGTTCCTCAAATGCTCTATCAAGTGACTCTGCAGTCACAAACGTAACGTTATCAGGCAAATCCTTGACATTATCAGAAATAAATTGTTTTCCATGCCTTGAATCAAAACTGTTCCGTGAGCGAGTGTCAGATATTTCGACATTATCGACTGAAGTTCCCTCGTGCACGAGATATGAATTGAAATTAAGGTCTCTGTCCACTGGAAAGTGATTACATTCTGTAAGAGTTGTTTCATCAAATTCAGACGTCCTTTTCAACGCGTTGTTATTTCCATCAACTGGTTGTCTCTGCTGAAAATTGTTCTGCCTCGAATCTAGAGAATATTGTACACGATTTTCCTTATTACCTTGGTGCCCTAGAATGTTTCTAGTAAATCCATTGAAAGGTTGGTCTCCGTTATAGGAACACTCAAAGATGGTTTGTGACGCTCTCTCCTCTCCTTTGAAAAAACTTTCTCTGGATATGGTGGGAGATGCCAACGAAGATTTCAACGAGCTTCTGGGAGGTGCTCTGATAAATATTTCTGGTGATATAAGCCCGCGGTTTTTTGCCTGAAAAAAAAACGAAAATTATTATAGCATGGTCATAATAAAAATCTCATGCAGTTAGCAGGTATGCAACAAATAGAAAATCTCTTAAAATTCTTGGTAATGTCTTTTTGTTTTGTTGAAAATCCTAGTTGAAATCTGTAGGAGAATTTTCTACTCATAAATTGTTTCAAGTGCATCGTAGCGTACATATACAGCATAACTCAATGGTAAACAAATATTAGTTTTTACAGTTTTACCATGTAATTGAACATATGTTTTGTTCAGATAAAATGAAACATTGATAAGATCAAGTGAGAGTTAAAGCAGTCGTAATAATCTTAATATTTTGTATTATTCTTTTTATTGCAGGAATCATCTTAAACAGACATATCAGATCATATCCAGCACACAATAAGACTGACACGTCAAACTACTCAACTTGAAATCCAATAATACTACAAACAGTTATATATTAACTCGATCAACCAGACGCTTATTCTTTTATTGGAAATCTAGCCCAATCAAAGTGCATCAAACACGCTTGGCGTATTCGTTATTAAAGTTAGCTCTCAATACTAAAGATGGTATTACGGAATCAGAGCATTGAGTATCAATAGATGTGGTATCTTTTCGCTTGTCTGCAACAGCATGTGGCATCGTGGAGTTGTTTTTTCTGAATTTCAATATCTGCATTGCTTCCCGTTCGAATCTGAGCGGGTTAAATGCTATGATACCCATACATTGCTATACAACACATCAAAAACTAACGTTGCAAAAAAGCCTCCAATTAGCAGTTCTTCCATGTTTAATGGCTTGCCACGAACAAAAATATTTCTGATTCTCAGCTAAAACACGGCTTAACATGTTATCACTTGTTACCTTCAAACTTAAGACGATTTGGAAGTTGCGTAATTCATCATGCCTTCTGATAAACAGCCCAGAGATTTGCAATTTAGTATATGCATCGAAGACACAATGTCCTTTAAAGTCAAGTAATACAAAGTTACCTTCTGCCAGTCGACGTCTGAGAAGAATTCGTGCTCTTGAATTTGTGAAGCTGTAAAAGGTGCTTTTCTCCAGTTCAGCAAAACCTTTATTAAGCCAACTGCAGTCTTTGGTAGGTTGGAAGGAAGGCCAGCCCTAAGAAAGCACCATAAACAATGAACACCGTTTTGTGTATATCTTAATTGTACAAGACTTTGCACATGTCCAGCGGCTAATCAAATTCGAAGGCTTCTTTCCTCATTAATTATTGACCGCCAGACCTAAATGAGATAAACTGGAGTTCGCTTTGAAGAATACGGAATATGAATAAGTTTGAATCTGCATTGCTGGTTGAAATTTTTTATCATGAATTACGAAAGCGGAATGAATGAATTAATTTCAGAAGTGTTAACCGCGTTTACCAACGCATTGTCTAGTTTATAAAGAAAATTAGATATAAAAATCCGGTACTGCCTAGGATAAGAAATTGAGGTCATACGTTACTTTGAAAAGGATTTCATAAACGATGCAACTTATCTTATACTTATGGTGAAAATTCTACACAGAAATGCTTAGTATCGTTTTCATCACACAAAACTTGAAGTTACCTTGCTTCAATATGGCTTTCATCGAGTCTTTTAGGTTTCCTCCCTGTTAAAAGCAGGCATAACAGGATTCCAAGATCGGACCAGTCTTTTGCGAAAGCCTCCCGTCCAACTGCAGCTTGTTCGTGATAATTACAAATGCCACTTTGTCTGCAACGGAAACATTCATTTTGGACCCAGTACACTACTTCGAACAAATCCCTTCTTAGTTTCACGTGGCCTGTTACATCGAAGAAAATGGTGTTCAGGCTTAGTCGCTGGTAGGTCGTATAGTATGCATGCAGTTCACTGATAGAGACAAGAATTTCAGCGATTATAAAGGTGACGTCAGGAGGTTCAAAGGGACCATGAGCTTGGAAGAATTTGTACAACTTTCTTTCCTCCTTGATGTCGTCTAAAACAGCATAATGCCTGGATTTTGTTTCAAAAGTGTACCTGTAAAGGAATAATATGGTATGATATCTTACTAGTATTTCAAATTTCTTAACGTTTTTAATTGCAATAATAATAACTATTTTTGAGTAAGGGAGTACGAGGCTTGCAGCCTATAAAAACACTAAAGGTTTTGTTTGTGTCCGTAATGGAAGCTACAGGCCCGTCGGAACCGGGAGCCCCCCAAATAATTGTCAAACTGTAATATGTTACCTTTATAACAGTGTACTGAATGAGAAGGAAAACAATGTGCAGCCCCCCCAATATGAATTTCGTTCCGAAGGCACTGAAGCTATCATAAAGTTTTTCAAAAATTTTATTACTGCTGAGCTGTTGATAATGATTTCTGGTAATTTGTTCCAAGACTCTACGATTCTTTGCGAAATGAGTTTTGTCTTTCGCTCATGCGATTCCTTTGCTTAAAATCTTGAGCTCGTTTCCAATTGTTTTATCTGTACGCAATTTGAAGAAGGTTGTATACTTCAAGTCGACGATACCTTTCATGATTTTGAAAACCAATATAATATCTCCTCGAGTTCTTCTCTATACAAGAGTTGGGAGATAAAGGGCAATAAGACGCTTTTTGTAAAGAACACTACTCAACGATGGCACTTATTTTGTGACTCTTCTTTGGAAGCTTTCGAGCATACGAATGTCTTTGACGAGGCTTTGGCTCCAAATTGCGCCGGCAGATTCTAATAATGGTCTAATCTAAGCTATATACAATGTTTTTAAAGCTTCAATATTTAATGAGATTGTTGTAAATATAAACTGTCATCTCGAGAGAATATACTTTTGTGCGTAATATTCAGTGGGCAAATGGTGATTACGAGCTCAGCTGTCATCTGATGTGAAAAAACCAATTTTAAATCTCTCTTATATATAGGCTTTAGCGACAGCCCCTCCTCCAGCATTAGAGGGTTTCTTTCTAGTGCACAGTATTTGTTTTAAATACGGTTAAATAAAAAAGGGTAACATTAACAAATGTTTTCTATTGACTTTGGGACGGTACCAGCCAGTGGTGGAAGGTATCACTTTCCCAGGCATACTGCTTCTGAATTGGCCTGAGGTACGATCTTTAACGCTTTCAGCTGACTGGCTCTGCGGTCGACAAAACGTAATCTCGCTTAGAGGAGACCTCTGTTCGAAAACTAGCGCACTCCAATAGCAAAACTGTTTTAGAATGCATAAATGCATAGTTAGGTAACTTGCAGGTAAATAATGAAAGAAAAAATGAATTAGCCTGAATAATAAACATAGTCACAACAATCTACTTTGGATCGGGATTCGATTAAAAGTTTTTATCGCTCAGTGAAACACTTCAATCCAAGTACGATAAATATTGGTTCGGTGATTTGTGCCGCCATTATAAACAACAAAAAGAAATTTATGACGTGTTTATCTGTTCTTTAACTCTTTTGATTGTCAAATCCTGTGGCTCTCAAGCTGGATCTTTATATTTTTTTCGTTTTGTTTGGGATCTTACAATGACATTTTCGATTGAAGGAACAGCTTGTAGAATTACTATAAGGAATCCAGCGGCAGGCTTAACAGGAAAAGATAAAGGACAAGAAGGGGTAAAACGTTTCTTTGAAGAAGAAAGAAGATGTGGAACATGAAATAGTTCTGTGTGACGTCACAAAGATTATTTTTATTTGCATTTCAGTCACTACAAAATTTGAAAAAAACTTTAAAAATGTTTTACTGAAATCTTTTCGGCTTTCAAAAAAAACGGCTTTTCGGTGGATATTTGCAAAGCGAGTAGCATGAGTTGGATAGACAGGGAATTTAGCATCTAGCAACCTGCCTAACCTAATTTTTCAAAGTTTAAATCATTAAAGTAAAGGCCTAAAGCTAAAAATGAATTATTTACACTATATATTGCGTTCTTAATACAGTTAATGTTCACAGCGTTTTGAAATATCTTTTTCAAAGGGATTTCCTGCAATTTTTAAATGAAAATAAATTTAAAACCTTCTTGTGAAATAGCAGTACTATAAAAGTTTGCTCTGAATTAAGTGTCGCCTCAAAAAAGCTCCCAGTCAAGGTGCAATCTAAGTTCGTCCATTTTATCATCTATGAAAGGTATTGCAAACATTGCAGTTCCTGAAAATTAAACCTACCGAAGACTGACTGCGTATGGAATTCGAAATGCCTCTACAACCAACGAAGAATCAAGATGCTGAGAAACGGGCTCTTTCTGTTTTGGAACAACGTGCATCGTGAGTGGTTCCCCTGTGTCTTTATGACGCACATGGTACACTTTGGCATCTTCTGAGCCACCGACGAACTGCTCGTAAGAAAATAAAGGGAAACAATCTAACATACTGATGAGATTTAAAAACGAAAGAAGATGAGTGCCCTATGTTTTAATCTCCCGTGCGATTTTGACAATTATTCTGTATAGACCAATGCCTTTTTCAATTTAGCGTAATTAAATAGCTAAAAGCTCCTTAAAATGAACAAATCTTGCTCACATTAACAACTATGATGAATCGATGAATGACCACC